TGATCCAAAATAACCAATGATGATCACTGTGATCGATGCCGACGATATTTTTGGGTTACCATCCAGGTAGGTCTTTTTTGGTGAAAAACCTATCAATTTCTCGCTATGGGTGATCGTTTTCTTTTCACCCAAAACAACAACTTGTTGTTGTTGCGGTTGGTTGATCTGCATTGTTGTTTTTTGTCAGAAAATACAATGTTTTTGTTGTTGTTGTTGTTGTTTTTCCCATCAACAACAACAACAACAACAAGCACCCACACAGGTATCATCGATGGCAATCAATAAACAACAAACAAACAAACAACAATGGTCAGTTAAACTAAACCAGAATGAACAGAAAAAAAATCGTGTGTCAAAATTCCCAATGAAATATTGAAAAAGGTGTATTGGTGGCTGGTTGATAAGCAGCCAGGTATATTTTTCGGTGGACCCAGGTTACAAAAAAAAAACTTTATTGAAAAAAAATTGATTTTGGGGAGGAGGGGGGAGGCTGTGGACCAGAGGGAGGAATATCCATGATGATGATCATCATCATCATCATTGGATAAAAGTAGCAGCTCGTCATGATGATGATGATGATGATAATGATTATTACCTAAAAATGATCGTCGTTGTTTGGTTATTTACCACCCATTATTATTATTATAGTTGTTTTTTTTACGAACCAAAAACGAACAAACGAACGATGATAATAATAATGATAATGGTTAGGTGAAAATGATGGGTGCGTACTACCATCAACCATCAACCAACCACCCATGGTATACCATAGTATACCATCTATAGATGATAATGATGGTTTGTTGTTGATGGTTTGATGGTGGTGTTTGGTGATAAGAGCCCCTGCTGATTATTTTGAAATTTTTTTTTTTTCGTTTCTGGAAATTGTTTTTCTTGTTGATGATGATGATGATGGTTGGGTGTAAATAGCCGATAATTTCAGCAATAATGGTCTTCGATTACGAAGAATATCCTCTGGTCTTTTTTGACTTTTCTTGCTGCTTCAACCATTGCCATATCATCATCATCATTTTTCTTCCATTTAATCGATCACCACCACCACCAATAAGGACAAAATAGTTTGTTTTTTTGCCACTAAATCTAATTCATATCTAATCTGATCTGATAAACAGAAAAAAAAACAATAACCAAACAGGGTAGAAATGGCCAGTATACGCTGAATAGGTTTTTGATTTGATTGACCGATAAATGAACAGAATTTTCTTAAACAAAATTCCCATCAAGCAAATATACCTATAGGAAGACCAAAAAAAAGTGTTATTTTGATCACCTTTGAATCGAACTAATGCTGATATTGATCTTGCTCTCGATATGTTTCGTGTGAACAAACAGAACAGAACAGAGAATCAGGATTTTAGAAAATCAAAAGAAGAAAAAACCTTTTTAAAAAACATGATTAGCATCTATGTTATGATCATTAATTTAATTACCTTAATTACAAATTAAAATACACAAAGGTAATTAAAAGAAACAGGTAAAAAATTAAACAATGTTTCCCCTGGAAAAAAAACTTGATTAAAACAAATTTTCCACCAAAAAAAAAAAACAACGAGAACAACAACAAACTTGAATTCAAAAGATGCCGGTTTCCTTTTATTTTGTTAAATCAAAATAAAATAAAATAAAAAAGTCGTAATGTTTTCTCTCAAAGGTGAAATATTCATGTTTTTCTCTTGGTTTGGTAATTGACATTGAACGAACGAACGAACAACATCGTAAAAAAATCAAACATCAAACAAATTTGTTCAACAACAACAATTTGGGAGAACGAAGAAATGAGATCATTCAGCAAAAACCAAACCAAGTGGCCAACCAAAATCATGATGATAATAAAATTTTCTTTGGATGTTTTTCTGAATAATTTTCAAAAAGAATCTTACTATCGGGTGGCTATATGGTAATTTTGCATGAATGATGATCAAGGAAAAGAAGAAGAGACAAAGAAGAAGAAAAATAACAATGTTTGTTTGAATTTGATTATTATTATAAATGATGTGATGTAATGTAATGTTTTTATTGCATTTTTATTGATGTTTTTTCTCCATGTTTGGTGAAACATGAATAGAACCGACGAACCGAACCAAAAGAAAACCACAAATCAAATGACGATGATGAATTTTGAATGATTTTTTGTAAAATTTTTATAAAATTTTTAATTTTTAATTGAAAAAATTTTTATAATTTCTATAATTTTATAATTATAATAATAACAAAAATAATGTTTAGATAATGGTAGTTTGTAATTCCATTTCCTTCATTTCATTTGTTTGTTATTTTTTGGTTTTTGTTAAAACATGGAAAAAAATGGGGGAAAAAATTTGATTAATCAAAAATCAAAAGATCGAATCAACCGAAAGATTGATTTTCTGGTTTGCCTAAACGAGTGAGACAGAGAGAGATTCACAATTGTTACAACAAAATTGAAAGACAAAACATAATTTGAAATGAAAAATATAAAATTGTAATTTTTTTTGTTTTTTTTTATAAAGTTTTATCTATTACAACTAAATTTGATAGAATTTAATCAAAGAACATCGTTTAAAAAAAGCAGGCAAGCAAGCAACAATTATCAAACAAAAAAAAAAAATCTGTTTTTTGGATAAACTCAGTTGTTGCTGACATTGATTTCGGTGAAAATTGATTATCGATTATCGGAGAAACATTCCCGAAAAATCCCGAAAACATTCCCGAAAAAAAAATCCTAATAAGAAATTTTATCCGTTTCGATACGTAATTTTTCCATACAATCATTAACCGATTGAATACTGTTATTATATAATTCTTTTAAATGTGCAACTTTATTCCAAAGATTTTGTGGTGAATCATCATTTTGATTATAATCATTTGCTTCTTGTTTAGCCATTTGTAGTTTTGCACTTAATTGTAAACGATTTTCTTCTTCTTCTTGCAGTTGTTTAACTAAACAGGATAAATTTTGATGACCTTCCCGGCGAAAATATCCAGATAAATCAATCATATCATTTGAAATACGTTTAAAATCTTTTGTAACATCCGTTACTAATTGACGAAATTTTGTTGGATTAAAATTTGTTGTATTTGTCATATAGATTTTATAGGCTCTGGGGGGGGGAAAAACGAATTACAAAAAATTAGTAAATTACAAATTAGTAGAAAATCAAATGATTACTCTTCAAAAATTTTCAATGAATGTTCACGTTCTTCTTGTAACTGGAATACTTTTTGTATCATATGAAATGTTTCAGCATCGCAGCTCTAATTTTTGAGAAGAAAAAAAAAATTACTGAAAAGTTTCTGAGCCAGAAAATTTTGGATCAAATTTACCATGATTGAAACGTTTGTTTGGCTGTTTCGGTGAAATCTAGTGGAGTTTTCTGGAAACCGGAATGTAAATTCTGCGAAATTCTTTGGATTAGTAAAAACAGGTGAACAAAAGCAGATTGATTTGGTTACCTGGAATGTAATAATTTGATGACAAACGATAACGAATAATGTTCCAAAATAAACAGACGAAAAAAGTTGTTTGGATCAAATTTTTCTTCTTTTGCTGAGCAAACGATAATGGCGATGTTGTTGTCGATGGCGATTTCGATGATGATGATGATGGTGGAGCTAAACGAACAAAAACGAACGAACGAAGAGAGAGCGAGAAAACGTGCTTTGTTGGCCAAAACTTGGAACAACAACCATGCATGCAGTGCTGATTTACAAGGTAAATTTTCGTGGTGGTAGTGGTGGTGGCTGGTTGATTGGAAAATATCTGCCATATAACAAGGGAGAGAAAAGAAAAAAAAAACAAGATTCAGTTGCTATGCAAAGCAAAAAAAAAATCGAAAATCGAAACTAACCAATGATGAAATATGATGACGACTAGTCAGACCAGTGTTTGTTTTTTTCAAATGTTTGGATCGATATTTGAATTGGATTTTTATAATAAAAAAAAAAATTTTCATTTGAAAAGATGCACTCGCAAAAGCATGGTTTTTTAACACATGAATATTATCGTCATTATCGTCATTTCTTTTCCAATCAATCAAAGCGATGACGTTTATATTGATATTTTAACATTGACAAACATTTTGCTGCTGCTGCTGCTCTTTCGAAATTTTTTCCCCCTCTCCATTGATGACGATGGCTTTTTTTTCATTTGATAACGAGTGGGGGCGAAAAAAATCGACGATTCGACCGATATTTTATTGATTATTCGAATCCTGTCTGTCTGTGATTGCGAGTGTGGGGAAGAGAGAGAAAGGTTTAATCGATCGATTGATCGATTGATCAATGGATGTTGTATACGAGGAAGAATTTTTGATTGCATATTTTTTGTTTCGCTTATCCAAAATGTTGAATGAACTTTTCAATAGAACCGGCTTTGCTATGGAAACAAATTGATAATCTGTTAACTTTTAAAAAATGTATGCAAGACTTGTTTTTTTTGTGGATATTTTACAAGTTTTATCCGGTTAAATTTGATTACAAAATTTTTTTTTAAAGAGAAAAAAATTTTAATTTGGATTTTTCATTTTTAAATTTAAAAAAAAATCCCTCACCTGTTGATCAATTTTACACGTCATCTATGAACAGGGTTTAACATGATTTTTTTCAGCTCAAAATTCCGAAAAATTAAAAGTTTTTTCGTTTTTTGAGGAAACAAAAATGACCGAAATGGAATCATTGATGACCCCGAAAGATAAACAAATATTGGATCAAAAAATTCGTTCGAAAAAGAAACAATTTCTAAGATTTTTACAAAGTGATCCAAATTGTTTACCGTATTGTTGTTCGATAGTAAACGATGAATTTCGAAAAAGTTTAGAAATTGAAATGAAAAAATTGATTGATGAAAATACAAAACAAGAAGAAGCTGCCAAATTGGACGATTCGGAAACCGCAACAACAACAACGAAAAAACGTTCACAAAAACCAAATCGTAAAGCGATAAAATTTTCCGAAATAATATTCGGTCTGAATGAAACATTCAAAATGATTGAACGTAAACAAATTACGATGATATGGTTGGAAGAAAAATCCCTTGCCTTGAATCTTCAGAATATCATAAAAAAATTATGCTCAGATAATCATATAATATGTTTGAATTTTGAATTGAAAAATTTAAAAACATTTTTCAATTTATCATCATTAGCCATAATGGCTTTTAAACAAACAATTACCATGGCTGAATCAAAATTCAATGAAATTTATTCGATTGTAACCAATCATCTCAAGGACTCAACCGAAAAACCTTTACCATCATCGAAATCGGTGGACGAATCAATAATCGATGATCAACAAACAATCAACGAACAAATCGAATCAAAAAACATCAATTTTTATCTTGAAAATTCAAACGATCGATATTCGGAAATGATGAAAAAACGTCTTGACAGCCAACCGCTTACCGACAGCGAGAATCAAAAATTTTTACCACAAGAATCATTTATTGCTTTCACTAAAGATGCTGATGATGATGAATATTTTCTTGATTATAAATCTTCTGCAAACAACGAACTGAAAATTGAAATTACATGGCCCGATCAATCACATTGTGAACAACGTAAACAATTAACAAAAAAATTTGCTGAAAAATTATACGAATTAGATGAATTCGGCGAACATCAATTTAAAAAACCCAGACAAATCAAAGGACAATTGGATAACGGATCAATGAATGCGGGTGAAAAACGTAAACAAAAATCTGATAAACGTAAAAAAAGAAAAGAATTTATTCAGAAAAAAAAGAAACAAAAGTAAAATGGATTAATTTTAATCATCATCATCATCATCATCTTCTAAATCCGAAATGATTGGTTCATCTTCATCATCATCATCGTCGTCATCAACACCAATAATATCTTGAGTGGTAGATGTGACGATTGCCTCATCCGATGATTTACGTTTTTCCGATGATGTTGTTGGTGTTGTTGTTGTAATCGATCGATTCATCGATAATGATGATCGCATTGAACGTGGATTATTTTCATTATCATTTTCAATGATTGATTGATTATTACCTTGTGATGTTAAACGAAGATTTCTTATAATTTTATCAAACAATATTATTGATTTATCTTGTTTAATTTGTCTGGTCATCTTATTACGATTATAATAACGTTGACGATATTGTTCAAATTGTTTAATCAAATCCAATAGATCAGATTTTTCTAAATTTTTATAATCAATAATACGATCAATCAATTTAAGATTAATATGAATGAATTCTTTTTCCGATGTTAATGTAAATATTTCCATTGATTTCATTATTAGATTATTACGTTGATCATCATTAGTACAGGAATCAATAATACAGGTAATCATTTCATATGATTGTAAATGATTATTATCATTTTCTAATAATATTCGAAAACATTCAACATAAGCATCATTGAATGGACTATTTTTTGTTTTGAATAATTCAAAATAAGCCGAGAGATTTTCACTATATTGATGAATGAATACACGGATAAAATGTTTCAATTCGGCTGTTATATTTTTATATGTAATAAAAATGATAATCAAACGAGCAAGAAAATCTGATGAACTTAAACGACCAATATAAAGAATTTTACACAGTCCACGTACAGTTGTATCAAACAAATCATATTCAATTCTGGTTTTAAATTGTTTTTTCATCTGTAATGGTTCCATTGATGGTTCTTGAAGAAAATTTGTTATCATATCGGAAAAATATTCATAAAAAATACGATTCTGACTTGATGATGTTGTTGTTGATGATATATTTGAATTATTATTATTTTGATTTTGATTATTAAAACTATTCGATAGATTACGTATCGAAGATAATGAATTATCCAGATCATTAAAATTGATTTTAGTCATACCAAAAAAACCAACAAAATCGAATAAATATTTTAATGATTCTATTCGAGCATCACAATAATTTTCTTCTTCAATTATTTCAACAAATACTTTTAAAAATGAATTTATAATAGCCAATGATTGAAAACAATAATTTCCTAATGCTTTTACCGATAATAATCGAATATTATTACTATCAGGATTGGCTAAATTTCTTAACACAAGTTTATTAATCAAACCACCCAAATTTGATAATGTATCAGTATTTTTTGGTCCACCAACATGTAAAAATGAATTACAAATATTTATACATCTTTCAAGAATTTTTGGATCCTATTTCCACACAAAAAGAAAGAAACATTAAGAGATTACTTATTCATTCAGTTCAGTTTACTTACAGTTTCAATTCTTTCTTGTGGATTAATCTGTGATGATGGTATTAATGTTTGTTCATCCGGCTGTTGTTGTTGTTGATCAATTTTCATTGTTTGCGTTTGTATACGATCACAATGTAGTTCAGGTAAATTAATCGTATTTATCAAATCCAAAGCTAAATCCAATAATTTTTTTGAATTATTTTGAAAATAATTATTAAAAATTTCAAATATTGGTTCAATATAATTATTAAAATGTTGATAAAGTTGATCATTCAATATGATTGAACGAAATGTACGTTCAATATAATTCCATTGTGCTTGATCGCTAATCTTATACAAACAACCAATATTAAGTAATTGTTCAAAAATAAAATTCAATTCTTTATGACGATTATCTGTTTTGTTGGATTTTTTCCGTCCTACCGCAGTATTATTATTTGATTCTTCATTATTTTCATTCAATACGGTAACAGCATTGGTGACAAAACTTTCAACATAATCACAATAAACAGGAATATCGGGGAAAATATCATCCAACAAATCATTGATGATAAAATTTTGTCTTCGTTGTTGTTCTTGTGATTGATTATCGGTTGGTGTAGAAATAGCATCACCATCTTCAGCATCGTTGGCGGGTAATGGTTTTTTATAGATAACATTGTTTGATTTACAAAATCTGCATAAACGATTCCAAAGATAGACAAATTCTTCTTTTGGCAAAGCCATTGATGGTAATTTATTCATATCACCAAGATATTTTTGTCGAAAATTAAAAACCAATTGATGAAATGCCGTAATATCATCTTTTTCAATTATTTTCAATAATGATTGAAAATAATCATCAAATAATTGATTGAAAAAATCCTGTTCATTACGGATATTGAAATATTCAAAAAATCGAACCAAATCATTATCAACATCGGAAATCCAATTCGGTAACAGTTTTCGTATGAGTACATTTTGAACCGCTGTACTTGGATCAGTATAACCATCTTTTAATAATTTTAAACGATCATTTGGTGGAAAATTATTTGCACAACTATGTTCGGCAATTTTCAGAAATGCTAATCGTCGTATGCTTGCATTAATATTGATTGTTGATTCTTTTATAGCATCCAATGTATTTGGATAAAGGCCGATAACTTTCATAGCACATGAACGTACAAATGAATCAGGATCATATTGTAGATGAAATTTTAATATTTTTATAGCTTCATCATCATCCGTATCGATTGTTATATTTTGAAATTTTCGTAAACACAACATAATCAATGCACGAACAAATTTATCTTTATCAATACTACGTTGACGTAATTCTTTTAATACTTCATTGAATGTCAGTTCATCAACTTCTTCAAGACTTTCCAGAGTTTTTTTCAATAATGATACTGAATTACGTCTAACAAATATATCATCAGCTTTTATAAATTTTAATAGATAATTCCGGATGAATAAATCAACAGTACATGGTGGTGATATATAACGTGTATCGATAATTGTTTGTTCCTGATCAAAACATTGTTCACCAATTTCATCATCATCACAATCATCATCATTATCATTATCATCGGAATCTGCCATTGTTATATCACCACGTGATTCACGAGCAGCTAAATGTTCTAAACGTTTTGTTTCATATTCTTCTTCAAATTGTATAATTTCTTTGAAAATTAATGCTAAAAAATCCAATACACGTTTAGTATATGGTGATTGACTATCACAAGCCAATATATTTTTCATTAGATCAATAAATGTTTGCATAAAATTTTTAAATTGTTCACCATCATCAATATTTAGAAACCATTTTTGATAAATTTTCATAAATTCTTTTAAATTTCTTTTAGAATTTTTTATATGTTGTGATTCATTGAATATTTTTCCCAAATCATTACGTAATGATTCCAGATTGAAACGATCATTTGTTTCAATGGCCATGATTAACAAAAAATAAACGGGTAACAATTTCAAAATTAGCAGTGGATTTTCAGGCAAAAACTAACGGAGAACTCAATGAAAATGAAAATGGAAAAAACCAAATTAAGATTTGAGCGTAAACGCGCGCGAGCTTTTTGTTTATTCGCGAATCACTGAGAAAAAAAAACCGCTAATTTTTCTCGACATCGTTCATAAACAACGTATTCGAATTTCGTGTTCGAATTTTTAGTTTTCGAATAATTTCTGTGTGTTCGAATTCGAATTTTTTTTTTTTGGTTTTTCGAAATTTTCAAAATTTTCAAAATCAAAAATTGATTTGATTAAATTGAAAAAAAATCAAAAATAATGGCTGATCAAAGTGGTGATACTAGTCGTAAATCTTCTTCGAAAATTGTTGATAATTCTAAATGTGCTGTTTGTAAAAAATTGCTTCGTCGTTGGCCACGTTCAGAACGAAGATCAATCAAATCCGAACAATTAGCTCGAGATGCCTCAAGATTGATGAATCGAAATATTCAAATTAATGATTTTGTTTGTCGTTTTTGTCATTCGAAAATTTCTGCCAAAATCAGTAAGGAAAAAAAACAGCAACAACAACAACAACTTAGTTTGTCGAAATCCGAAATGGCCACATCGGAACCATCATCGTCAACAACAACAACAACATCGACAATGGAAAAGGAAAATTGTTTGCCCGACAATGTTCAACAACAATCATCCGAAGAATCATCATCATCATCCGATGAATCTGATGATAATTATAATGATCCATCATATAAAGCACCAATATCTGTAGAAGAAAAAAAATATGAAGTACCTTATAGTCGACCGGTTGCTACACATGGTTATTGTTTTATTTGTTCGAAAACAGAAAATTTAAAAATCATTTCAATCCAGGCACGTTTAGATGTATTTCGAAAACGTAAAATTTTTATTCCGGCCGCTAATCGTTGTTGTCTCGATCATTTGAATAATGAAACATTATTATTGAATGAAAATGAAATTGATAAAATTCCCATTGTAATGGATCGTTGTGAAATGACAAAAAAAGAAATGGATATTTTTTTGTTTCCAATATGATTTAAAGAAAAAAAAATCGATCAATTCGTATCTCATTGGAAAGAAATCAACGTGTTATAAATTTTGTAATTAAATTTTGTACTTTTGTTGTTGTAATAAAATGTTTAAAATTTTTTAAATTTTGAAAAAAAATTAGAAAAAAAAATAATGGCTGGTGTGGGGATCGAACCCACGACCTTGGCGTTACTTATTTTGCACAGGATATAATCCAATTATGAATTATCCATCAAACATCACTTATTAGCACCACGCTCTACCGACTAAGCTAACCGGCCATTTCAGTTAATAGGTAGCGCCATATGTCATCTGATAACTTTCATGGATCATCAAAACATAAACAATCAAAAAATCGATAATCAATCAATCAAAAATATTTGTGAGTAACCAGCTCCTGTGAGATTATCAACCACTTTAATTTCTACTTTTCTAGGGAAAATATTTCCTTGACATTTTCATCAATCAAAAATCACCTTTTCTGCCTTCTTTCCAAGCTTTTTTCTCTTTCACTTCGAACAAAATTCTCGTTTTTTTCTCTCGGTTTTCAACTCGTACACAGAGAGAAAAATAGTCAAAAAAAGTTAAAAAAGCCTAAATTATTTTTCTCTGTGTAAACAAACACAGACAGACAAACAGAAACAGAAACTTGGCTCAAAAAAAACATCTGATTATGATGATGATGATGGTAATCATCAGATAAAATAATCCAAACGGTTTTTGTTTTTCTGAATGGAAGAAAACACAAAACGCAAATGTCAACATTATAATCATCACCAACTGAATTGGATATAAATGATGACGACGACTCTATAGAAAAATCGTGAGAGAAACGTGGAAACAACCAAACCGAAATCTGACAATTTTTTAATGATGTAATTTGAATTTTCTTTCCTGCCTGGGTTTTTTTTTCTTTGTTTCTTCGAGCCAATTTTTTTTTCTCAAATCTTTCTTTCTTTCCTCGGCAGATATCCTGTATTTTTGTTTTTACAACCAACGATAATAACGACGATAACAACAACAGCGAATCTTGTTTGTTTGAGTGATTGGTTGATTAGATTGAATCATTTTAATCAGAAATTTAATCAGAAATCAAAAATCAATCAAAAACAATATGGTTTTTTGTGTTTGTTTGTGTGTAGTTTTTTGAAAGTGCAGCAACCAAAAATATTATCATCATCCAGATTACCTGTTGCCAAATGTTGCTCGGTGTCCGTGATACTAAAAAAAATTTTTTTTACTAATTTTTTCTGTATTAATCATCAAAGAAATATTTTTTCTATGTTAAACAAAATACCGTGTGCCTCCCTTCTATTTGCCTTTAGTGTTTTTGTTTTGTTTTGTTTTTCACCCAAGTGACTTTTTTTGCTGTTGAAAATACCCAGCCTTTTTTTCGAAATACAGCAGGGTTATTTTTTCATTTTGAATGAATGGTCAACCAACCAAATCTTCTGGTTGTAATAATATAATGATGATGATGAATCATCAAACGACAAACAAAATGGAAACAACCATCATCAGTGACAAGAATGATGATGAAAAATTAACCAATGATATTGACATTGATGATTCGAATGAACCGAAAATAATGATGGTGGTAAAAGATTCTTCTTCACCAAAGCCACCATCAGAACCACAGTCGCAAACGGATTTTGAGTATGATATTTTGATGGATTCCTAATTAATTTTTAAAATGTTTTTTTTACTTTGATCATTTAGAAACATGGATGATGAAAAATTAACCAACGATCTAGATTTGGAATGTAAAAAAATTGAAACTTTGATACAAACATTGGATCAAATTGAATTAGAATCATTACCATCATCTGATGTTGACGTTGATGATGATCGGAATGATGCTGCTGATGATATTCGATCTGAACATTGCCAACCCGTTGATGATGATGACGATAATGATGAAAAATCTACAATAAAATTGGATGAAAATAAAGAAGTGGAAGAAAAAATTGAAATAAAACAGACAAAACAAATTCCAATACCAAAAGAACGTAAATCAAAATGTTTTATTGTCAAAAATGTTGATGATAATAATAATGACGATGAGCAACAACAGCAACAAAAACAACTTGAAATATCAAAAGAAAAAATGCCAACAGCAACAACATCCAAAGAAAAGCCAAAAATTTATCCCGATGATCTTAATCCATTCGGTGATGATGATGATGATGAAATTCAAGATGAAAAATCATCACCGAAATCAAAAACTGTGATTAAAATTGAACATTATCCAGGAGATTTAAATCCATTCGGTGATGATGATGATGGTGATCAAAATAACAGTTCCTTAAATCCATTCGGATCGGATGATGATGATGATGATGATAAACAAATCAAATTAACCAAAACACCTGATCAACAGCAACGATCATCAATGAAATCATCACCAACACCAACATCGAAACGTAAAAAAAGACCAGCACCACCACCACCACCACCACAAACATTATCATCATCATCATTATCGAATAAATCTAATCAATCATTGGATCAGATAGTGGATAAATCGATGGTTATCGCAAAAGAATCTGATTCGCAAATGTTTGATTCATTCATATCAAATGCATCATCATCGAATTTTGATACAGAATCATTTGATGATGATAATGGTGGTGATGGCGGTAATAATAGCCGAAATAGTATTCATCATCAATTAGATGTGCCACGAACACCAACACCATTACCAAGACGACGAAAAAATAATCAAAATGATGTTAGTAGTGATGGCCGTAAATCATCGAGTTCATTGATTGTTTCGTCCATCACCGGTAGTAATAATAATGACATCGATGGTAATGATTCTGTACAGGCACAATTAAAAGCAATAAAAAATAAAAAACGTCCAGCACCACCACGACCAGCATATAAACGTGAATTAAAACAATCAACCATTGAAGATATGGATAAAGAATTGAATGATATTGGTGATCAATTACCAATTGTTGAAAAAGAACGTTTTGAATTGGAAAAATGGTTATTATTATTGAATGAAGAAAAAGAATCCGAACCACAACAACAGCCGGAAGAACGTGAACAAAAATTGGAAAGATTTTTAGAATTAGCAAGGGAAAAATGTAAACTTTGTCGTAAACAAAAAGAATTAATGTATATGTAAGTGGCATTTGTTTGGTTTCTTTTTCAAGTGATTTTTGTTTAAAATTGAGTGATAATCGATTCTTTCTCTTTCTTGTCGATCATATAGGAAACGTGAACATAAACTTGAAGAAATACAATTAGAATTAGAATATCAATTACGGATTATAATGTCAAAACAAGATGCACAAAAAACAGCGGATGACCGTGATGAAGAACAACGTTTATTGAAAAAAATGATGGAAATTATTGATGAACGTAATGATATTATTGAAAATATGATACAAGATGAAAATAAGTATGATTTTCTTTTCTATTTTTGCTTTTTGAATTTCGTTTTTTCAAATTTCTAATCCGATTTTTTCATTTATCCAACAGAGAAATTGAAGAATATCAGAAAATTATTGGTAAAGTTATTGATATTCGAACCAAATCAGAGGAAAGGGAAATAGGTGGTGGTGGTGGTAGTGGCAGTGGCAGTAAACATCATCATCATCATTTGAAACCATTTCATAAATTGAAAAAATTGAATAAAAAAATTAAAACCAAACTTAAATCGAATAATAAAAAACAACATCAACAACAAAATGGTGATGATCATAGTCAAGATGGTAAAAGTATTGATGAAAGTTCTGAATCAATCAATAGTGGTGGTTCAACATCGATTAATGATTTATCAATAGGCCAGGATTGTCAATCGATTGGCAATACTTCGGTCGTCGATGATGGTGGTGATGGTGATAAAAAATCTGAAAAATCATTGACAAAAAAATCCTCAACATTTGGACGAACAACATTGAAAAAATTATCAAATCCATCGAAAACTATTTTAAATGTTTCGAATGAATTGAAATCAAAATTTCATCATAAATCACATTCCAACATTACGAATCAATGAATGGATGAAGAATTTCAGAAGATATTTATTTTGTTAAATTTTTTAAAGTTTTTTTTTAAAAATTCTTTGTAATTTCAATATAAAAAAAGAAAAAATTAAAAATTAATTAAAAGTTTTTTTTTTGGAATCATAATTTCGAATGTTCATAATTCGAATTTCTTTTTTTTTTTTGCTTCAAATCTGGGTAGTAGTGGTATTTGAATGTGTAAAGTGGTGACAAACGAATAACATAGTCGTATGCTACTACTCGTTGCAATGTTTTGATTCGAAAATATCCTTTTTCGGTTTTCTTCATGCGTCTAGCATTTTTATTGAGAATTGATAGAAGAAGAGAGAGAGAGAGAGAGAGAGCGAAAAAAGAGACAGCCTGACCAAAAAAAAAAAAAAGAAAAACTCATTTGACATTCGAAATTTTTTGCTTTGATTATTGCCTGGACTCTTTTCCATTTTCNGTAGTGGTATTTGAATGTGTAAAGTGGTGACAAACGAATAACATAGTCGTATGCTACTACTCGCTACAATGTTTTGATTCGAAAATATCCTTTTTCGGTTTTATTCATGCGTCTAGCATTTTTATTGAGAATTGATAGAAAAAGAGAGAGAGAGAGAGAGCGAAAAAAGAGACAGCCTGACCAAAAAAAAAAAGAAAAACTCATTTGACATTCGAAATTATTTGCTTTGATTATTGCCTGGACTCTTTTCCATTTTCACAAATAAAACTCCAAAAAAACCAAGTTTTTCTCCTTCTTGAATTGATTATCATCAGGTAATTGTCAAATCAAATGTTTTCGAATTGAATCTCCGAAAAACTAACTGACTGGGCAAATACGGTAACCAAAAATCATTATTCAAACCCGAAGAGATTTTATTTATCTTTTTTAAACGAACGACCACGGATGATGATGATGAAAAAAATAGAAGCTCGAATCAAATTCTAAATTTAGACCGACCAACAATCAACCAACTAACTAACTAACTAACTAACTAACCAACCAACATTATATATAAGCTCAGCAGTGTGTTTTGACCTGCAAGTCGAACATTTATATTTTTTTCATTCGATTTTTTTGTGTGTTTGTGTGATATTGATTTTTTTTTCTTAAAAAAAACGATTATTATTCAGTGATTTTTTTGACCATAAAACAACAGGGAAAATGATTCGTCAATATCGTGCATTTGAAGATATGGAAGAACCTTGTTTTCTTGTACCAGAACCAGAATGGATAACAGTTACATATCAAATGAAATCAATTATTTGTCAATGGCGTTGGGATGAAATTCGTGAATTGATAACAAAAAATTTATCCAAACCAATAAAGAAAAAGAAACAGGATCTGATCGATTCTGTTAATAATGGCCATCATCATGGTGGTGGTGGTGATAGTGAATCATTAAAAGATTTACGTCATTCACAGATACAGATTCGTCCACCACCACCATCAAATTCAGTACCAGCATCACCTGATTTACGTATAAATAATTCAAAACATCATCATCATCAATTACAACAATATATACCATCAACACCGCATCATCATCACCATAAAGATCCGGATAAAATTTTAAAGAAAAATTTATTAAAAATAGAATTTCTTAAAAAACCAAATGATGATACTCAGCAACCATTGCCAACAACAACAACAACACAGCCATTAAAACCTAAATGGTATCGTTTTGATTCAAGAGAAATTTTGGATGAATTTTTATTAGATGCTAATAGTCATGGTTATATTGAACGTCTAGTCTATAAAAAATGGTTTATGACCAAAGTCAAATATGTTCCATTATGTCATCGACAAATTAATAATGATAATCAAAAAAATCATCATAATTTATCAACAGAATTATCATCATCATCATTGTCATCATTGACCAATGATAAAAAACAAAAAAAGAATGATAAACAACAATCATCAACAACAACAAAAAATTTTACCAAAAACAACAAACAAACAAAAAATGGCCATAAAAATTCGATAAAGATGGATGTTTAAACAGGCAGCAGCAGCAGCAAAGCAAACTTTGTTTTTTCCTATTGCGAAAATTCTCACTTTATTCATTATAAACCTTAAACACAAAAAAAAACAAAACAAATGTGACATGTGATTTTTACCTTTTTTTTTATTGTTGTTGCCATTATCATCATCAACACCTTAAGATAACCATACAAAAATTACACATAGAAATCTTGATTTTAGTCATATATATCCCACATCCAAAATAAACTATACATGTTGATGATGATGATCAAAAAATCCATTCATTCTATATCAAAATCTTTTTACTTTACTTTTAATCTTTGGTGGATTTAATTTTTTCTTCTTTCTTTCTTCACTGCCTTACTTTATTCAAAAAAAATTTTTGAATTAAGGCGGCTTTTGCTTCTTGTGTGTGTGTGTGTATAGCCTGAAAATATTTAGAAAAACTGTTTTTTTTGTTGTTGTTTTGTTAATCTGGTTATCTTACCAACGAAAAATCATCATCTTCATGATTCATTTCTCTATATGTTTCGTGGTTAACGATGATGTTGATGATGATTATAATGATGATCCACTTTGATATTTATATGAATAAAAATAAAACGCAACTTTTATGCATATTTTGTAATTGTAATGATCATGTGTTTGTTGTTGTTGTCTGGATAATTATCCTGGAAAAAAATCATTAAAATTATAATGATGTTTTGTTGTTAGCGATTTAAATATTTGACATTCAATCTATTTTTTTTCTTGTTCTTCATTACAAACCGTAGGTGTGTTTGTGAGTTTGATAATATCTGATGGATAATGTTGTTATTTTAATTTCTTCTCAACCCCCCGATTAACTATCGTCGAAATCAAATTTGTTGATCATGTTTTTATTTTTCTTTATCAAATGTAGTGATTTTTTGGAGATTTTAATCAACTTTTTGATTCGCGAATAAAAAACAAAATTTCATTTCGAATGGTTCAACCAAAAAGATTCGATCGATGTATCGATTGTTTTGTTGTTGTTTTTTTCTGGGTTCAAATTATCGCAATGTGATAATCTTGCTTCTGGATTTGTTGTTGTCGTTGTGGTTACCAATCACAAATCATTTTTTTCAATCAAAAAAAAAATAAAAAAAATGAATCATTATTATTGTCAAACAAATCCGATTTGATTTTGATCGATTGATTGGATATTGATTATTGTTGTTGCAAAAACAAAAATCTTTTATTGTTTACCATTGTTACCAGTCGTTTTTTTCGATACATTTGTTGTTGATCCATTTATATCGATGGTTTGTCGATTGTCAATGATAATGATGATAATGATAATGAGCGATGATCGATTCGTCTAATAGTTTTTTGCTTGTTGTTGAATACAATGAAGATAAATATGTCATGAATGAATGATGAATTGAAAAAAAATTGATTGATTGAATCGAACAACAATATTTTTTCTTTCTTCTTTTCGCGAATAATGGCCATCTATATTTGGTGATGACCTTTTTTTTCGTTCGTTCTTTTGTCTTCGATTTGATTCTTTTCGTTGTTGTTTGGCTTGTTGGTTTGTTGAATTTATAATAGAAATTTTCGGAAAAATTATTAAAATCTGATTGAAATTCAATTCAATTCAATTTGATTTTTTTATTTTTTTGAAAATGAATTACCGGAATGATGGATGGATGGATGGATGGAAAGGATATTCGAATTCGAATCATTCGAATTTTGTGTGTCATTCATAAACGACATGACCTCGAATTTTGAAATTTTCTTTACCGAAAAACAAAAAAAATTATCTTTGCCACCACCATCATCAAGATTTTCTTCTATACCAAATTACAGTCGATTCACATTGTTGTGTCTTGATGTGATTTATTTATAATTTCACCATTGCTATAGACAAAATTAGCCATGATGGATTTTCTTTTGAAAATTTTTTAAAGAAAATAAAATAATTTTCTTCTCTTGTTAACCACGAATGGATATTACCGGTTGAGTGGACGGAACGATAGCCAAAGTAAAAACAAAACAAATGTTGATGTGATTTATTCGGGTAATTTTTTTTTTGTTGTTGCCCAAAACTGACAAATAATATTCGGGATTTTTTTCTTCTTCGAAAATAATCATGATCAATCGGATATGACATGGTAATTGGTGGGAGCGAATAATGAAAAAAGAAAAAAGATTTGACATTTGACAAGGTTGACATACATACAGGGTATTTTTGTTTTTGTTTTTTGCCAATTTTCAACGACGACGAAGACGATGAATTTAGCGATTAAGTTTGTTTTTTTTTGCAGACAGTAGTCAGACAGGATTTTCTCTTCTTCAGCATTCATTCATTCATTCTTCCAAAATTCCGATTTAATCTTGATGATTTTTCTTTCACCAACCTTTTCTTTCCATAAATAACATTATCTGCCATATACATAGAAAAGACGTTTAGGTTTTTTCGTCAAATAATTTGTCAACATTAATCTTGATCAGATTTTGCAAAAAAAAGAAGAAGATTTAGTTTCTTCTTATCTCAGTTTTGAAATCAGCATTTTGTTGAAATTCACGAAAAACGAAAATTTTCGAACGAAAAAAAAACGAAAATTCGAATCAAAAAAGCAAAATCATGCATCTCCTGAGTGGTAGTGGCATAGATTTGTGTTAGAAAGTTTTTTTTTTGTTTTCGAATGATTCTTGCGCATGCTCTTTTTCCTCTCATTTTCCCCATAAACATTGAGTATTCGATGATTTAATCAAATCCATTTTTCGATTTCGTTTTTCTTATTTACCGCGCGCAATATTTTGTTGATCATTTTTGTTGATAATTATCATTTTTTTCTCAGTGTTTTTTCCATTTCGAAGTTGTTTAAAATTATCGTTCTTTTTTGGCAGCAAAATCAAGAAGAACAACAAAAAAAATGCCATATTTTGAAGAAAATCATCAACAAATATTTGGTGAACATTTTTGTCGATTAATTTCGAACCAATTTGTCCATAAACATTTACGAACAAATTTAAATAAATCCGATGATTTGAATCGTGAACTAATCAGGCTAATAATTATCGATAATAATAATTTGGAAAATAATTTATTATGTCAAAATTTTTGGCAAAATATTCTCGATGTATTGGATTCGAAATTTACTCATCAACATTCAAGTATTAGGAAAATGTTTTCATGGCAAGAATTGGCTAAAAAATTTTTTCTCGATATCCATCCGAATTGTAAGTGTTGAGTTTTATAAAATGTTAGTTTCTGATCCAAAATTTTGCTGTTTGTTTATAGATTCATCATTGAAATTGAAAAAGATTGTTAAAATGTTGATTCAAACAACAATTGAAAAATTGTTGTCAAAAAATAAACAAACATCCGTTGATGGTTTATTGAAATTATTGTTTGGCGATATTGTTGTTGGTGATGACGATGACGATGATGATGGTGAACAGATTTTATCCACATCAAATCGATCGATAACAAACATTGATGATGATGATGAAGATCAACCATCGGATTTAGAAATCTCTATAAACGATGAACCACCAGAAGAACAGAATCCAATGGATGAAAACCAAAACGATATTCAAATTGATATTGCTGTTGATGATGATGATCAAATGGAAGTAAACGTTATTGATAGGCAAAATACTAATGATAATGATGATTCAAGTACATCATCTATTAGCGATATAGAAGATATTCAACCAGTTGAACCGAAAAGTACTAATATTGATCAACAACGGAAAAAAACTAGTACACCAAGAAAAAAATTACAATTAAATGATGAGGATGATGATAATGATTCTGTTAGCAATGTATTTGATCGAAAACAAAAACCAAAATCCAAACAAATAATACGAAAAAAGATTAAATTGAATCAAATTCCCGAAAATGAAAGTAGCGATACTGATATAAATGATATTGATGAACGATTTGAAATGGAATTTAATAACAGGGATTCGAATAATGAACCTGAACGTGATATACAATCTATAAAACGTGAAATTTATTCTATAATTGCACCAAAATCCTATACAATGGAAGAAGATGGTTCAATTTTAAAATTTATTATTAAAACTGGTCGTTATAGAGAAATAAAAGGTCGTTCATTATGGGAAGATATGGAACGTAATCGTATTTGTAATCGTACATGGCAAAGTATGAAAGAACGTTTTCGTAAAATAATTACACCAAAATTACCACTTTATACTATATTATTTAATTTATCCGAAAAAGAAGTTGAAAATTTTTATCTTTATTCAATGAAAAAAATGCCACAATCATCAAATGATTCAAGTAATATTTCAAAAAGATCAAATCGATGACTATTGAATGAGATATTGATATGGTTATCAATCAACACCACCGCCAAACACACATCAAACAGTTTCATCATCATCATTTTGGACAAATTGGCGCGCGGGCGTCATAAAAATCGAACGCCATCAATCAACCAATCACATTTTTTTACCGCTATCATTCGAACGTTTTTGAAAAAAACGAACGATTTTTGTTCTTCTTTTTGATTCGAATGTGCGCATCGATTTTTTCAATTTTCTCCCCCCTCCTCTAACCATTTATTAATTGTGTTTGATACCGCCATCGAATGATGATGATTAATCAGATTTTTTTTTGTAACCATCATTGTTCTCACTGTCAAAAAAAATATATAAAAATCGTCATTGTCCATCTTTTTTTTCATTACCATTTTTGTTTTTTTGTTTCGTTTTAGTTGGCGATTTTTCGTTTGTTTGTTAAACTAAAAATATTTGATTAAAAGTTTTTTTTCTCTCCAAAATTTTCACTTTACAAAATTTCAATCATTTTTCTATCTTCATTTCAATTCAAATTCTTCTTATTCCTTGTTTTTTTTCCTGGCTTTTCACCATCATAATGATGATGAATAATATGATCAAAGATTTCAAACAGGTTGATAAAACTAATCTTGAACAAATGACTTTAAATCTTTGGAATGATAGTTCTATCAATGTTAATAATAATGGTTAGTAGGATTTAATTTTTTTCTTCCAAAAATGTTGATTGTATTTTCTAATTTTTTCATCATTTTAAAGGTTTGAATACAATTCTGGAAGAATCATCAAATGATTCATTAGATTCGGGTATTAGTATGGTGGAAAAACGTGAATCATGGCGTCAATCATCAACATCACCATTTCGAACAACAAATATGAATCGAACAACAATGATGATGAATAATGTGGATCATTCAAATCAATTATTGATGCCGGTTATTAATCGTCGACCATCATCATCATCATCGAATTTGGTTATGAATGGCGATTCATTAATGAATCAAATGTGTACATTATATACCGATATGTCATTCGATGATCGTATATTTTTTGGTGTACATAATTTTTTCCTATTGAAATGTTCATTATCCGAAAATCAATGTAATGTTGATTTTTCTGCAAACAATAATAAGGTATCGATAATTGGTAAAGCGGAAAATGTAGCCAAAATTTGTAAATCATTTTTTCTACATTCAACATTTGCATTACAATTTGAATTCTATTTTTTTGATGAAACAACATGTGCTGATTATATGAAAGAACGTTTTCCATCAGTACAAAAAGAATATGAACAATGGGATGTTTATATATCGTATCGTCCGGAAAAGCCAAACATATTATTGTTTACATTTTTAACATTTCGAAAATTTTTCGTTCGTCTTATTCAATCGATGATAAATTTTCAAATGCAATTAGAATTCTATCAATTAGGTCGTGTAATGCCAAATTTTATGAGTACATTACAAATACCGATTACTCGGCGTGAAGGAAATCTTATCAATAGTAATTATTTGGAATCAATTGAACATGAAACCGGTACTAAAATCAAATTAATTCGTTATCATGATTGTCATCATTATCCATTTGGAAATGTTATCATTACTGGTGTTGATATTTTATCGGTTATACAGGCTCGTTGGTTGATTACTACACGTTTTGAATATGAATTAAAATTTCAGGTTACCATATCGGATATATCATTACTGGTAAAATGTATTTCAAGTTTGAACTATGATCGAAGTTTGATCGAAGTGACCATATCACCATGTGCATCGAACCCAAGTTTAGACTCAAAAATTCTATCAATCAAAACAAATGAAAAACATATTGATAAAATATTTTCCATTCATAAAGAACTTATTGATTCAATGATGATCAATGGTATTATTGCCAAACACTAAACATTTGATCACAAAATTAACCCCAAAGAATAATTTTTTTTGGCCCAAATATTATTATTACTTTTTCATATCAAAAATTGTCGACATTGTCGTTGATATCAATCTCAATTATCTTTGATGATTAATTTTCTTTAAATTTTTGTTGTTTCTTGATCTTTCAATGTTTATCAATCTTTCTATCTATCTAATCAATCTATCTAACAATTTTCTTTCTTCATTTTGTTCCTAAAAAACACTTTTTTCCCCTGCCAAAAGAAGAACCAAAACAACAAATACACAATATATGATTATATAATTACAATTTCATTACAAATATAATATATTGTTTATAATTATCATTTATAAAGTGAAAATTATGCAAATAAAAAAAAATTGAATTTCTTTTTTGGCAAAGATATTCCCATGGTTATAATTTTTTCGTTTTTTTTTCCAGTTTCATAATTCATCCGTAACATGTGTATGTAATTGTTGTCCAAAATCGGTTGCTTCACTACCAACAAATACATCATGATTATCAATAATTTCATCAATGGATAATCTATTATCATGATTTGTATCGGCCGATGAAATCAAATGTAATGCTTCATTCATGGCAATTTCACTATACGAGAGAAAAAAATGAATCAAATGAAAAAAAAACAGATTTCAAAATAATAATTTTTCAAACTTACGTATTATTCGGTATTATCCAATTAATACATTCATTAAAATCTAAACGACCATCATTATTTTGATCATAATCATTTTCAAATTTATCTTTTTCCGATATATAATGTTCAGATTTCAAATCCGGTACATTTCCATTTTCATCGCTAATAAATTCTTTAAAATCAATAAAACCATCTTTATTTTGATCACGACGTTCAAACATTTGTTCAATTAATGTTTTAAACATATGTTCAAATTCTTCGGGATTATTAAAGGCAGCAAATTCCTTTGCATCCAAACGATTATCATTGTTCAAGTCGGCAGCTTTCCATAAAACTTTATCCTCTTCAAGAAATTCATTTACCATTTCATCGCTTAACTTGATTTGATTTGAAATGAAAAAAAAAATTAATTAAATTAAATTACTTTCAAAATAAACAAAACTAACCTTAAGTTCATCATCTAAATCGAATGAAATTTTTAAATGTTCATCCCATGTAACAAACTGATCATTATTTAAATCTTCTTCATTTAAACGTTCTTCACCTTCTTCAATGGCTAAATTTTTAAATGATTTTAATACCCATGATTGTAATTCATCATGATCAACATAACCATTATGATCAGCATCGATACCTGTTTCAACTAATTTTCTTAAACGACGTTTTGATTCATCAACTGAAAGTGTTTCGAATTCTTGTGCCGTTTGTCGACTACCAAGTATAGCTTCATGATCAAGTTCATGATCATCATCCGTTGGTGAATGTTGAACATGTGATTCGAAAGCATCATCAATTCTTTCTTGATTATGTTCATGTATTTGATGAGTTTTTGTATGCAGATTTGATGGTGTTCCATTTACCATTGTCTGGATGATAACGACGACAATAATCAAACAAATAGACGATGATGACATTGTTCAATTGGGTTTTCGATCAACTTGATGCTAATAACAAAATATGAATACTCCTACAAGTTTTTCTGGTGACGATATATATACGAAACACCCGAACCGAACCTGTCCAACCAGCTGGATTATTTCAATTATTATGAACGCATGAACAAAATGTTGCCAACAAAACAAAAAAAAACACAAACATCGCAATAAAGGTGAATTACATTTGAATATTTTTTTTTAATTTTTCAAAACTTGAAAAAATTTTTTTTTGTCAAAACTTTTGACATTTATCAATCAATCAAATCAAACAATAATGGCGCTCGATTTAGTTTACAATTCATTTGATTTTAATCAAATTTTTTTCTGTTTTGTTTTGTTTGTTTCGATAGATTGTTGGCGCCATACTTAAACGACGTATCATTTTGCTAAATACACGTAATACAATCCGCGTGTGTTTTGGTGTTCGAATTCGATTGAGCTGATCAAGAAAAGAATTCTGTTTGTTATTGACATTTGTGGTTTTCCATCAAATTATCTAATTGCTTCGAGATTATCGTTGGACAAATAACATTCCATCAAAATACAAGATAAAAATATGGCCAATTTTATTCATATTATTAAAAAATTCTTTCAAGAATATAATAAAACAACAAGTAAACGTTTGAAAGCAATCGATGTATATTTAGCATATATATTTTTTACCGGTATTATACAATTTGTTTATTGTTTATTGGTTGGTACATTTCCATTCAATTCATTTTTGGCCGGTTTTATATCAACAATTGCAAGTTTTATTTTGGGTGTTTGTCTTCGTATACAGGTGAACGATCAGAATAAATTGGATTTTTTCAACATAAAAGATGAACGTGCATTTGCTGATTTTATTTTCGCTCATATTATATTACATTTGGTTGTAGTAAATTTTATTGGTTAAAAAAAAAGTGAAAAATTGAATTTGAAGCAAACAAAATTTATAATTTACAATTTTTTTTCTTTATTTGAAATTACAAAAATATGAATTATTAAAAAGTAAATAAAAATTAAAAAAAAAATCATTTTGGTTGTGTTAAATTTTCTAATTGTTCACAAATTTCTTTACATTTTTGTTGTGTTTCCATCGTAAAAACGGAAAATTTTTCCATTGATTGTGCAATACGACGAATTTCTTCAATGATAATACCAATATTCAATGGTAAACAAGCATTACGTGCATCAATAATTTTCTTTTGTAATATAGTAAAACAATTATCAAATGCTTTACGGGATAGCAATAATCGTTCATTATGATTTACAAATTTTTTATCCGGATCAGGTTTTTTATACAAACCAATTGCCATTAAACTTAATTGATTATAATCATCAGTTTTAAAACAAATATCAATCATTAAATTTGTACAACGAAACATATGTGAATTAAAATTACCGGCACGTTCAATTTCATCGATAGGTATACGCCATATACCATTGTAGAAATTTGCTGGTTTACGATCAAAAAACAGACCATTAATATAACCAGGATTGGAATTCGGTTTATCCGGATCAATTTCAAAACGTAATAAATCATTCTGTTTATTTTGTTGTCCACCACCAAACATTATTAATTTGGCTGTATAATAATCACGTATCGAATAATAATAATAAGCCAAACGATAATATGATTTATAATGTGCATTATAACGTGCTAAACATTTTTTTATCCCTTTTAAACACATTGATATTAATTCATTACGATAACGATTATGATCAAATTTTTGATCACGTTCAGATACCATATCGATTAAATCGGTTATGATCGGTATAACCGGTTGTTCAATTTCCGATGTCATCATTGTCGATGTTGATGTTGACGTTGATGAACGAGAATCATTTGAATTTTGTGAATTATTCTTCGATAAATCATTCATTGTTTGCTGTTGATGATGATGTCTTCTGGCTGCAGACGATGATGATGACGACGACGATAAACCATTCACCGATGATGAATTGAATGATTTCCTCAATATAAATGGTGATTTATTTACTTTTATCAATTGATATTTCAGATTTCTTAACATTCTTGCTGTAAATTTTCTATTATTTAATAAATATTTTAATATTACTGAATGTATACGATAATGTATTTCTAATGCTTCGATCGATAGGAATGATGGTGCAAAATAATTTATTTTTTTTGGATATGTTGCACCATCCAGATACAGATTTAAATATGCCCATTCATAATATTGTAATATTTGTAATAAATCATTTGTGTTAGATTTTTCAGCCACCTTACCCAACATATAATATGATAACCATGATTCTTCATTATTAATATCCGGGTCGATAATTTTTTCAAAACATTTTTTTGCTTTTTCCAATATTTGTTCATAGGTAAAAAAATTATTTTCACTTATTTTCAATTCTTGATGTTCCGTACCAAAAATTTGTAATCTTTTTTGTAATCGTGACCAATTACTTGCAATATTATAACATAATATACCATATTCAATCCATAATTTACTATTATCCGATTGTAGATAAAGTGCTTGTTCAAAACATTTCATTGATGAATATGATGTTTGATAAAATTTTTCACCATTTGTATTTATACCTTCAATTAGCATTTGATCAACTTGATAATTTATTGATAATGCTAAACCAGCCCATGAATCAAAACGTTCTGGATTTAATGATAAATCATTTATATAAAAATATTTTGCTTTTGCAAAATCTTTTGATTTAAAATGATGATCAGCCAATAGATAATATAATGTTGATGTTACTGAATTTGATTCTTCTTCATTGTTTTGAGAAAATGATCGTAATGGTGTACCACGTTTAATATAGTTATTAATTTCAATTGTATGTTTAGGTTTTTCCGATTCCGGTATAAGGCTAAGAATTTTAAGAAAAAAATCTTTTGTTTCCAATGTAATACCTGAATGTCGTGGATTACTATCAAATTCAGGCATTGAATTTGGAATAAAATACAGATAAATTTCTGGACAATGTTCCCATTTCAATTCAATATTTGGTGATGTATGATGATAATCTTGTTGTGATGAAATACTGATTTTTTGTTGTTGTGGTGGAAAATTAAATAAACAGGAAAAACATTGTAATGCTTCATCATCCATATCAAAATCGGTAAAAATTTTCTGTGCTGACCAAAGAAATTGACCATTATGACTAGTACAAAGGCCACGACGACCAAGAATATTATGACCAATTTGATAGAATTTTATTAATGATGATGATGTGGATGATGTTTCAATATAATCATCATCAGATTTTTCTATAATTTCATCAAATATTGCCTGCAATATAAGCCATGGTAAAATTGAATTACCTTCACTTGCATATTTAACAATTTTTCTTAATAATTTTCCTGTTAATTGTACTTTTTTATTCGTATCATTTCCCTTTATACAACGTAATATAATTTTCAAACAATCATCATCAAAATTTGACCAATTTTCAAAAAATTCAATTGCTTTTTGCCATATTTGTGCCTGTATGATTGCTTCATAAAGTTTTTGTTTTTCATCATTCGTTAGATCGATTTCATTTTTTGTAAAACATAACCGTATTATTTCAACATAATTATGTTTATCATTATCATTATTATTATCATTATTTAATTTTGAAACATTTTGCATATCGATCAATGTTTTTATATATTGTTCATTTATATGTAAATTATTTGATGCTAACACTTCGAACATATCCTCGGTCGCAATCGATTTCTCTTGTTTATCTGATCAGAGAGAGAAACAAAAAAAAAACAATGAAAAATTTCAAATAAATAAAAAAGAAAAGAAAAACAAACCTGAAAAATGTTCACCCATTGCAAAATGTACAAAATATTTAGAATCATTTTGACAAAAATCCAGCGCATATTGTAGATAATCAATATTTAATTCTTTTGTACCACAAAGTACAAAAAACCGAATTAAAAAACAACGATATTCATGAATGTTAAGATGAAAATAAAGTTTGATAAGAATTTCTTTTAGAAATAAAATTTCTTGTCGTTGATAATCAATTTCATTTGCAATCAAACAAACCATAATCATATCGACGGTTATATCACGACCAATATGGCAAAGGATACCGAGTGGAAGTTGATTTTGTTCTCTTTGAATTTACAGAAAAATATAGGGGAAAATCAATTAACCTGACATTTCTTAAAGAAGACAAAAACAAAACTCACCTGTGTATCCTGTACAGTGACATAAAAATTTTCGGTATATTTAAATTTTGAATTTTTGAAACTTCAACCAGATAAAAATCAATAATATCCAATATGTTCAACATCGGGTTATTCGTTTGATATGTTCGAAGTTTATCGAAAAACATTTCAATCGCTTCCAATTCAATTTTTAAATTTTCATTTATACTAATCGAATTACTGGATATATTTTCCGTTTCAATTGCTGTTGATAATTTGGTCGTTGCTGATACCTGATCATTTTTCAAATAATCCGGCAACAGATTCATTAATAAATCAAAAACATTTTGTTCATCATCCGAATCAATTGTATTACGATTATTATTATTTGATTTTGTTTTAACACGTGATGAACGTCGTTTATCAACAAAATCATAAACCAATTGTTTATCATTACGGCTGTTATTTTGTTGTTCGGTTGTTGTTGATTTTTTCATTTTTTCACCATCAATTTCCATCGATGTGACGTTATTGTCGTTTTCAGAATTGTTCGGTGTTGTTGTTATCGAATGATTCTGACCATCACTGTTGTCAAAATTGATTGAAACCGTAGCACAAACATTCGAATGTTGCTGTATGGAATCATAAATGTTTCGAATTTCTTCACCAATTTTTTCAAATGTTGAATGTTCAACGGGATTCAGATTTAATTGTAAACGTTTTCGTTTTGTTCCAGAATGTTGATCTTCATCACCATCACGATGAAAATATTCTGATTTTAATTGTTCTAATGGTCGAAGTATTCGAGGAACCAATTGAATTAATTGTTCATTCGAATCAAATTCTTCATTTTCACCACCCAATACAGTTGTTATGTATGATTTATGTTCATTATTAACCAAATCATTTAAAATTGGTGGCATTAAACGTATACATTCATTTAAAAGAATTTTTGCTTTCAAATAATCCCGGTTTAAATCAAGACCACGTAAACAAATACATGAACAACGATAAAGATTTTCCGTTATAAAATAAAGATCAATTAGATTATCAATGGCAACAAAATTGGATGAATTATAATTAAATGCTTGTTCAAAACAACGTTTGGCGAGAAAATAATTTCGTTGATTGCGTGATTTTCGACCACATGTCAACCATAGATTAATATCAGTATTATCAATTTCTAATGCATCCAATATATAATCCAAATTATTTTTAAATAAACCAAGATTTTTATATGTAAGATATTTTAAACGTTTCAATAGATATGGATCTTTAATTTTTGGTTGATCATCGCATTCTAATTCTTCTTTTAAACGTAATAATAAATTTTCAGCATCAATAATATTACCATTTGCAGCCAATCTAAGTGCATTAATATAAAGATCATTCAATTCTTCTTCTTCAGCTTCTTTTGTTGTTTGATAATCTGAATCATCGGTTGAATTATCCGATGATTCGGATTCATTATCATTTAATGCTTTGATTCTTTTCATGATGATAATTTCGTTTTTTTCGAATGTTTGATGGTCAACAACAAGAAAAACAACAATGCTTATCATATGGATTCTATTTTCTAATATCAACCGCATTCGATAGATGGCAGCAGTTTTTGCTTTTTTTATGGCAGAATTTCGAATGATAAAAAGGAAATTCGAAATTTTCACCATAAAAATCAAGGATTTTGGTGAAATGAAAATGAAAAAAAAACAAATTTCAATCCGATTAACTCAATGTCGATGTTTGTTTTGTTTTGTTTTGTTTTTCCCAACATCAAGATAATCAAGATTCAACAACAACAACAGTTTCTTCCAATTTTTGAACAGAATAAGGAAAAGAATGAAACTTTTCATTTTCAAATGCAGCAATTTCAACCATCATCGATTCGTACCCACCACGAAAAAAAACCAAATTCTTTTCCTTATGATTATTTAATTTTTCCTTTGAAAAAATTTTCGCAAATCAAATTCATTATCAAACGAAGAAAGAAAAGAAAAACCTTCGAGGAAAGAATCTTTCCTTTTTTTTCAAAAAGCCAAAACATCAACCAGAAAAACACGTGATTCAATCGATATGATCATCATAGATTTGGCTATTCAAAATTCAAAATGTTTTAGTGCAAAAAACGAAGAGAAAAATTTCCCTCTCTACTCATTTCATTCATAATTTGAATGAATTAAATAATTTTTAAGAAAAGTGACTTTATCTGATTAACGAAAGTAAAGAAAAAATGATAATCGATAGCAATTAAATCGATTGATTTTTCATTGAAAATGACACCCAAAATCGCAAAGTTTCAAATGGAAAATTTCCTTTTTTCTTCAATCCAAATCTTGTCCGTTTCATTATTCATTCAATCGATTACCAGATCGATCAAAATGAATAACTAAAATGTTTTTTCAACAGCTAAGTTCAAGATAAAAAACAAACAAGCAACAACAAGTCTTTCCCGCTTTTTTCTTTTGCTTTTTTTGCTTCATTATTGTGCCACCATCATTGTGATGATAATGATGATAATAATGTCTTTTTTGGATGATGATGTCTTTTCTTTTTTTGATTCGAGAAAACCTGTTTTTTTTCATTTTTCTCAATGTTGTTGTTGTTTCCTGTTTGTTGTTGTTCCAGAAAGAAAATTGATCTGCATTTTTCTCTCTCCTCACTTTCATCATTTTTTCCATACATCATCAGTTCATTGTTCCAGATTGTCGTCATTATTATTTCTTTTTGGATGATTTCTTCGGTCAAATTCGGATTATTATTTTCGAAATAAAGGTGGTGGTGGCATTGATGATGATGAGGAAGGAGAATGCCTGGCTCACAAATATGGCCTTTTCATAGATAACGTGTTTGTTGTTTTCCTTTTATCGATTTTTTTCGTTGAAAAACGACGATGAAATCAGATAAATATCAAGATTGTTTGTTGCATCTTGGAAAATTTGCAAAAAAATGTTTTCAAAAAAAAGATGCAAAAATCGCACCATGTTCGAGGTCAAAATTGTTGTTGTTAGTTTGTTGTTTTTGAAACAAATTAAATGAATGAAAATCATCAGAAATTCATGGTCTTTTTGAAGCAAAAACAACAAATTCGCGGTTCTCTTTTCTCTCATTCATTCCTCTTGAAAAAAACATTGCAAGCAATGATGATTCAGTTCAATTCTTTAATCAACCTTACAAACAACCAACCAACCAATCTCATCAAAATTCAAACCTTGATTTTTTGTTTTTCGTTCGTCGTTGTTTGTTGCTTGTTTGCTGAAAAAATCTGATGAAACTAGCAAGAATCATTTTTTGTTTTTCTTCTTCCATCATTTTCAAGTTTGTCCAATGTCAAGTACATCTCTCTCTCTCTCTCTCTCTCTCTCTCTCTCTCTCTCTCTCTTTCAAATTTTTTAAATGGCCATATCCATTTACATTTCCGGTTATTTTATTTTGTAACTTTGTTTCTTTCTCGTCATCATTAGGCAATTATGAAAATCAGATCAATTTTTTTTTGTTTTGGTTGTTGTTAATTGCTCGATCACTAATTAACGACAACGATGAAATCATCATTTAATTTATGTCAACCTTTTTTTCGTTTTTTTTTTTTTTTGCTTCATTTAATTCGATATAGTCTGCTATCGTTCGATCTGTCTGTCTGTCTGTCTGTCTGCATTGTTTGTTGTCTTTTTTTTCCCCCCGTTCATGACCGTTTTAGAGAAGAAGAGAGGAGGTGGAGCCTAACTCACGCCACTTTTTTTTTTTGCATTGCAATTTGATGATGGATTCTCGCCTTTCATTTCGATGTATTGGTAAATTGCATACCGGTTAACGAGGGTGTGGAGAGAAACGCACAGACCAAACAGTGGTAGTGGTAGTATGCCGGTAATGAAAACTGAAACAAAATAGAAAAAATCATCCGATTTTTTGAAGGTAGCAGTAGTATCTTTGGATTCTATATTTTTTTTGTTGATGATGATGAAAAAGGAGGTAATGAAGATGAGGAGGAGGATGATATAAAGGGGGAGGAATCATCAAAATTTCACATATTTTAATGCTACTACTTTTCTAACTTTCTCTTTTATTTTTTTGGATTGTCCTTATTGGAACCTACAATTTACAGGCGGACATCCTCATCATCCTCACTTATTTATCCTCCTCATCATCATCACACTGTTTCAACATGAAAACATTCGATATACGTTTACATTAGTAAATATATAGAGATTTTTGTTTTTTTTTTGTTGTGATTTTTGATCTTCATCTTCTTCATCATCTTCATCATCATAATCAACAAAAATCAACAATGATAATAATAATCAATATCTGATTAGTAGGTATTTATCATCCTTGTGTTTGTGCAAAAGTGCTTCGACGTCCATTCTGATAAATAATAGAATTTTAGTCAAAAAAAGTATTTCGACATTTCATTTGGTTGGTTGGTTCTTTATCATAGAAAACACGCTTTTTGTTTCTTTGAAAAAAAATTGATTGATTGATTAAATGATGCAATCATTATCATTATCATCAATAAGGAAGAAGGATAAGAAGGTAACTAATGATGAGAAAATGATGATGATTATTATTTTTTTTATTAATGAAATTTAATTATCGTAGTTTTTTTGACTATTAATTCCATAATCTTTTTTCTTTCTTTTCTTTTTATAGATTTAATCATCGACGACAACAAAATTTGAATTCGATTCTTTGAAGAAGAAAAAGTAAAAGAATAATACAGCGTGATTGATCAATTGATCAAAGAAGAAGAAGCAGAAACATTGTTGTTTTTTGATAAATTTTGTATTTGATTTTACGTCGTATAATCTTGATAATAACAACAAACAAAAAACAAACGACAAAAAAAAATCACGTCATAATTTGACATCCTTCTTTTCAATCGAACCAAACAAAACGACATAAAACGTCAATTCACACCGTCTAAATCAAATATATATTTGATTTGTATCGAGGGGAAAAAGGGGGATATAAACAGGACAGGAAAAATCCAACAAACAAAAAAAAAAACTTTGATTAGAAAATTCGATTGCAACCAATTCGAATCGAATGATTTTTTTTCAACAACTGAAAAATTCGAAACTTTGTGGCCATTTTTGGATTTTAAAAACTTTCAAAACCCCCCACCACCAAACAAAAACTTCTAGTATTTAGTGTGCCATTCAATTCAATTCAATTCATCATTATCGATTTTGTTTTTTGTTTATTTGGTTTGTTTGATTTTAGTTCATCGACACATTCCGAATGATAATTTCTTTTTTTGTTTTTTTCTAATTGAATTTTTCATTTGTCATCATTTTTCGTCATTAACGATTTTTAAAGATAGAAAAAAAAATTCATTCAGTTTTTGAACAAGGTAAGTTTATTTGATGATTGAATTCGATGTGTACAAAACTGTTTTGTTTGTTTGCTATTTGGACACCATTACCTTATTTGATCAGAAACATTTTATTGTTTAATTGATTCGTGTGTCCTGCACGTGTGTTGACATTTGGATGTGTATTGTGTTGTTTTTTTTTGTGAATGAAAGAATCCCCTTATTTTTCAAAAATGTGACATATCACACCTTTTGTTTTTGTTGGTTAGTTGCAAATTATCGACCAACAATCGAATTGTTTATTGCATAGGTAATCAGAAATTTGCTAAATTTCATTGTCATCATCATTTAACACTTGATTGACATTCATCATCATCATTTATTTTAGTAATTAAAAAATGTTTAGTGTATAATTTTACAATAATTTTTATAATCATAAAAAATTATGCGAATGATAACGATGATAATGATGTCTTTTTACTTAGAAAATCTTTTACTTGGAAAATATTATCATTTTTCTATAAATATAAGTGAATGAATGAATGTATCGTATTACATCTTCTCTCGATGATAATCGATAGTTTTTTATTGGTTTTTGATTTCGAATGTTGATTATTGAACATTCGACGATGAATGATAATGATAATGGCCTCCATTACCAGTGTGATTTTGGTTTAATTTATTGATTTTGTTCAACAGAAAAGTGGAAATTTTTGTTTTTTGCAAAGTTTAATTTTTTTAATGATGATGATGACAAAATTATTCTAAAACGATCGAATATTTCCGTTTTAATTGTGAAATGTGATTTACGTTTTCAAGTGTACAGCATACGCTTAGCGATAATTTTTGATTATATAGAATTTCCTTTATATTTGGTAAAATGAAGTTCTTCATATGAACAAAAAAAATCATACGATTTTTTTTTAATGATTTGATTTACAATCCAATTATAATTTTTAATAGGTAATCAAATTACAACTGGGTGGTATGATTAACGATTGAATAATCATATTCCAATTATAATAAATGTTCATAGGGCAAACTAATTTTTCGTTGAATGGTGTGCGTGTGTTAAATTTCATTCAATCATGCATAACACACCAATTAGTAATTTATCTGAAATTGAATCGATTTGATGATTGATCAAATTGTTGTTTCTTTCTTCTTTTGGATAAAATTTTCCCATAATCTTTTTTTCCATCTTTTTTTCGTATGATGTAATCCAATAGACTGTTATTTTTTTCACCCCTTTTTTGTTTGCTATTGTTTGTTTGCTTTGTTTACGTCATTTTTTTTTTTAAAAAAAAAGATAGAAGGAAATTATTCATATTTTTTCTTTTGTTTGTTTGGAAACTAGAAAAATTTTTAAATTTGAAATTTTGAATTTGAAATTTTCTTCTTCTACTACCCAAATACAAATTGATTATCAGTGTTTTTTTTCCTTCAGACTTTCTCTCTCCCTCTGTGTTTCACTTTATTGATTTATTTGATTTCTAATTGCTTTTTTACACAATCCTTTGATAACGTCATTATTGGAAAAAAGAAAATTTTGTCGTTTTAATTCAAATTCATACGTCATTCATTCATTTAGTTATGGCCATCGTTTTATGAACAAAAAAAAAACTTGCTTAAACATTCAATGTAGAATAATCCTGATTACTACTATTTGCTTGTCCAAAAAAGCCAAACAAAAAAGGGAAATTTTATTCATTACAAAAGGAGTGAAATTTAAAATTAAAAAAACCTAAATCGGATGTTCACCACCAACCAACAATCATTAAAACCGCCCATTATCATTTTTCGTTTGTTTGTTTTTTACCAATCATTGTTGTTGTTGAAAGGAAAAAAAACAATATAAAATAAATTGGAAAAATTCATTTTCCATCGATTAGATTAATATTGAAAAAAACAACATTGGACCAACTTGAAGGTGGTCATATAGCGTCAGGAGATTCAGTGTTTTTTTATCAATATTTTTTGCTTTCTGTGTTTGATTTTTTCGAAGAAATTCATAGTTCAAAAATCGCTATTGTGTGTGTGGTTATAATTAAACTGTAAATAATTTAATAGTTTCAAGTTCGAATATTTGTTTAATGTTTTTTTTTCATTGTTTCTTTTTTTTTTTGTTTCTAAATTAATTTTCTGTTTCATTTTTTTCTTTACTTTATAATCACAGTAACGATAGTGGTACGATAACGAAAAATTAGAAGCAAAAATCGTTTTCTTGTGTGTGTTTGGTCGTGAAAAAAAATATATATTTGGTTTTTTTGGTCGAAAAAGAAGATTTTTACTTGAAAAAAAGTTTTAATTTCATTTTTGGTGGTCGTCATCATTTTATCATCATCAATTTTAACGTCAAGCAAAATCAAATCAATTTGCATTTTGGACGATTGTGATCAAATCGTATTTGTTTGTTTGGAGTCGAATTTTATCGAATTGCTTTTTTTAACCACGTTTTCTGATTTTGTTTCTTTCTTTTAATCATCATCATTATCATCAATTTGTAATCAACCCTGTGATTTGGATTTTTTTTATTTATTTATTGATTCAACGATAACGATTTTTGTTTTATTTCTTCACGTTTTTGATTGATTGATTGACAATCATCTTCGTATCATATATATTATTCTTGGTAAGCAAAACCTATAGCAAAGTGATAAAAAGAAAATTTGAAAAAATCAATAAAATTCATCATTGTGTGGATTTAAAAACGATGACAGCATCATCAACACCCGATTTAACGACAACATCAACACCAACATCATCACCACCATCAACAACATTTGTGATGAATGGTACAACAACAACAACAACAACAAATGAACAATTATCAACAACTGCTGTAATCATGAATGGTACTGGAACAAAATCATCATCAATTTCAACTGATTCAATTAATAATAACAATAATAATAATATTGAAAAATCTAATAATAAGAATTTTTCCAATATTCCAAATGGTCATCATAATTCATCAACAACAATGTTAATGTCAAATGGTGGTAGAAAAATTCATTCAACAACAAAAATGTTGAATGGTGAATTATCAAATTATAATGATAATAATGATGATGAAAAAATCATTACAAAATCAAATATTGATTCACCACCAGAAACACCATTACCGGCTGCACCATCATCACCAAATTTATCATCAACAGCGGTATCATCATCATCATCATCATCTTCTTCGGCTCATACAATACCAACAGGTCCTAGTGCATTTAAAGTTCCAGCCGATATTACTGTAAAACTTTTAAAAGGTCTTTTTATTTTGCTCGTACATTTGATTGTCACTTTATATACATTGATTACATGGCCAATCTATTATTATGTTCAAAGACCATTTGAAGTAGTTGAAAAATCTAAACAAATTCGATCGAAACAAATGAATCCTGAAGATCCAAAATCACCATGGGTTGGTGAATTTCCTGAAAAATGGCCATTCGTATTGGATAAATGTGAAAAAATTGATGATCTTTGTGAATATATTGGTGAATATTTTTCATTAAAAAATCGTGCACTTGGATCACGTCGTGTACTTAAAGAATTTGTTGTACTTGGCCCTGATGGTAAAACACCATTACGTATTGATGGTCGTACAGTGAAAAAACGTGAACTATCCGATTATGAATGGATTACATTTGAAAAAATGATTGAACGAAAAAATAATATTGCTCGTGGTTTTCATTTGGCCGGTATTAAACGTAATGAACCGATTGTTATACTATGTGAAACTTGTGCCGAATATTTTATGGTTGAATTGGCTATTGCTCGTTCAGGTAACGTACAGGTGAATGTTTTTGCTACGCTTGGTGATTCCGGTATTGCTCATGCTATACGTGAAACTAATTCAAAATATATTTTTACATCATGGGAATTATTGCCGAAAGTACGATCGATTATTTCACATTATGATTTTGGAATCAATAAAGTTATCTATATTAATCGTCGTGTTGAACAAACAACCCAAGAAATGGATAAAGAAGCGGCTGAATTGATTAAACCAATCGGTTCTACGGAATTTGTATCATTGGAAACAATCGAAAATGATGGTCAAACACGTGGTGAGGAAGTTGAAGATCAATGTCGACCAATAGGAAAAGATGAAATATCTTATATAAGTATGTATTTTGTTTTTGTTTTTGTTTTTGTGATAATAATTAATAATTTTCAATATTAACAGTGTATACATCGGGAACAACTGGTATACCTAAAGGTGTTCAAGCTACATCATCACAAATGATTCATCTGATGCGAACGATATTACCGGTGTTAAAAAATGCAATCGGACGTGCTCATGAAGAAATGTATGTTGCATATTTACCACAAGCTCATATATTCGAAGCAACATGTGAATTTTTAGCGTTGGCATTGGGTGCACCACTTGGTTTTGCAAATCCATTTACATTGACTGATTCGGCACCAGGTCTGGCACCTGGTACTGAATCTGATCTACGTTTATTAAAACCAACGATTATGATTGCCGTACCATTAGTATTGGAACGAATGCGTAAAGAAATATATACAAAACTTGAAGCAAGATCTCCAATTTCATCACCATTATTTAATTATTTAATGGATTATAAAATAAGATGGACACAAAAAGGTAAACTCTTTTCTTTTTTTTGATCATTTTGAATCATTTTTAACTGATTTCAAATCATTATAGGATATAAAACACCAGTTGTGAATAAATTATTATGTAAAAAAATACGTGAACAATTTGGCGGCCAATTACATTTGTTAATTCTTGGTGGTGCGCCATTATCAGCCAGTCTACAAGCTTTGATCAAAGCCGCCTTAAATGTGACATTGGTACAAGGTTATGGTATGACTGAAACATTAGGCGCATGTATCTGTATGGATGAAGATGATCTCTCATATGGCCGTTGTGGTCGACCATTATATGGTGTACATGCAAAACTTGATGATTGGACCGAAGGTGATTATCGTGTTACAGATAAACCATATCCACGTGGTGAACTAGTGATTGGTTCAAAAGCCAATTCGCTTGGCTATCTAATGAAACCCGAAATGACAGCCGAATTATATGAAAAAGATGATCAACTTGATATTACTTGGTTTCGTACTGGTGATATTGCTGAAATACATCCAGATGGTACATTCAAAATAATTGATCGTAAAAAAGATCTAGTTAAACTTGCCAATGGTGAATATTTCTCTCTTGGAAAGGTATGTTTTTTTTATTATGATTTTTATCTGAATAATAAATATGATCATTTATTGAATAGATCGAATCAATACTCAAAAATTGTAGCTATATTGATAATATTTGTGTGTTTGGTAATGCATTAGCTAACTATCTGGTGGCCTTAATCATACCCAATGCAAATCGTTTTGGTCGTTTAGCTAAATCATATCGTGTACCACGTTCGGAAGCAACTAATGATGAACGTTTGAAAAAAATTGTTCTTAAATCATTACGTGAAAGTGGTCTTAAAAATGGATTGAAAAAAGCTGAAATACCAACAAAAATACAAATATTATCGGATGAATGGACACCTGATAATGGAATGTTAACAGCTGCAATGAAATTAAAACGTAGTATGATTAAAACAAAATATTCATCAATAATAGAAGAATTATTTCATGATCCAGAAAAAGATACAAAACAATGATCACACACACAAAACACAACACAAACAACACTTTCAAAATATGGACTGAATATGAGAAAGAAAGAAGAATATATATAAATATATTTATAATTGTGTGTATGTCCATCATCATTATAATTAATATATATAATACAAATTAACAAACTTTTTTTTATATAAAAAAAGAATAGAAAAAGTTTTTAAAAGGAAGAAAAACATTCATTTAGTAACAACAACAACAACAACATTTACCTGCATACTTACAAACACACACACACATTGTAACACACTTTTTAAAAAAAAATCTATTTAATTTCATTTCAATTTTACAAAAGAGATTATAAAATGTAATTTTGTTTGTTTAAGGTGTCCATTTATTATTATTATTATTATAATTATTATCATTATTGAAATGAAAAAAAAAATTCATTAAGGTTAACATATATGATTCACACACGAAAACAACAACAACAACAACAGAATATTTAAAACTACTACGTTCTTGGATTGTGATAAAAACATTTTTTTTTAAAATTCATTTTTGAATCAATCAAAAAAAAAAAAATTGGGCCATTCATAAAAACCGTATCTCGCGGTAACTGTGTGTGTGTGTGGTTTGAACAGGAATTTGATTTTTTGAAAAAAATAAAAAAAAACATCATCCTTATTTATAACAATATATTTGTAAAAAAAACAAAAATGAAACTTTAATGATTGTCATTATCATGGCCATCATGGCCATCAATTATCATCCCATAAAATTTAGCTATGTAACCCAAAAACACACCACACCACACCACACAAACAATTCATGATTCTGAAAATTATTAAAAATGAAAAAAAACAAAAATTGATAGCATCCTTCATCGTCTGATTGATTTTTGACACACACACACCGACACACAACACAACAGAATTTGTTCAATTTTCATCGATTGTTTTAATTTGTTTTTGTTTTTTTTTCTTCTTCATCGTCAAAATTTTGTTGATTTTTAATCGAATCGATCCATCAATCCATCAATCAAAATTCTTAATGATAATGATAATTAATTTGAAAAAAATTGGAATAAAAATTAATAAAATTTTGTTAAATAAAATTGAAACAAATTTCGCTTAAATTATTCTTCGCTTAAATTTGGCTTCAAAGCCAAATTGGCACACCCAAACCGTGCATACACTCGATTTACACACTTTTTATAATAATGTTAATTATCATTATTATTATTAATTCAATTCTACGCTCCATCACACAATGATGATGAATTTCCAGCAAAACAAAAAACAAAAAGAAGGACAAAATCAACGCAAACAATCGATATATATATTTTACTCAATTAATATTCAATCATTAGTTTTTTTTCCATTGAATCGAATCGAATACAACAAGGGGATTATATTGTATTATTATTAATTTTGATGAACATGATCAATTTCGTTTTTGTTTTTGTTGTCTATTTTCCTGTTAATGATTATTTCATTAGATGGATTTTGTTTTTTTCCGTTCATTCATTCCATTCATTCATTGATTCAGTGCAATTTTCTTCTTTTTCCATTTACTTTCTCGATTATGTAATCAAAAAAATTCTCATTATCCTCATCATCATCATAATGGTAGGACGACGATGATGATGATGACGGTAGTGGTCCGAATTTTATTCTTCTTGATTCACATTTCAAAATCCATTTTTTTTATCGAATCGATATCGATATTCAATTCCCAATGTGAATTCAATATGGCAAATTTGCTTTTACCCAGGTTCAATGAAGGAGTACTTTTTTTTGTTGTTGGAAATCTTTTTGGGAATATTGTTCCAATTGGAACACCGAAAACGAAAAGATCCACTTGATTTACAGCTATGTTAATATAGACATTAAAATTATATGATTATAATCTTCATCACGTGATCATCATGTAATAATGATTCTAATTCGGAAAATTTCTGGAAAGTTCCCGGGAACTTTTTCTCTGAAAACATTCCCTTTTGACATTTATTTTTGTTGTTAATGTTGTAATTGAAATGTCACTAATTTTTATCGAAACAAAAACCAAACCAGTGACAAGAATTTATTCAAATGAATTGAATGAAGATCGGCAAAATGTTTGTTGTTTCCAGGGTTGTAACCAATGACAACAGCCAATGATGGGCGCTAATGTGTTAAGTCAGTCAGTCAAGAAATGATGAAATTCTCTGTCGAATTGGTGTTGAGAATGTTGAATGTTGAACTGGAAAAAAAAGCCATACAAACATAGCCAAACACACCATTAATTATTTCACCTACGCCTGTTGTTTTCTTTTTTGTTGTGAATTTGAATTTGAAAAAAAACGATTGAAAAAATACACAGAAAATAATAATAATTTCCAGGTAGGTTTGGTTTCATTAGGTTTCAAATTTCAATATATATAATTAGTAATCAAAATCAACTTTACTTTCAACTCGAAGTAAATCAAATTTTTTCCTCTATTTTTAGGATCATATAATTTCGGGTTTCGAGTTTCTTCCACCAATAAGTTCAGTTCAATTCAAGAATTATTTCGTAATAGGCGTTTGTTTCCTTCGTCTTCTACTTCCAAAAAAAAAAAAGGATTTGCAAATATCAATTTCGAAAACACCTGGAATTTGAAAAAATACTTGAAGAAAACGAAAAATGTTTTCAATAAGATTGGATTAGATTTCGGGCGCTACAAAAATATTAATTAAATGTTTTTTTTTCTGGATCAAATTTCCTTTTTTTTAGAGAAAAAATCTTTGGAAAATTTCCAAGAAATAAAATTTCCTGGGAAATTTCTCCAATATTAATTTTTCAATTGAAACCAATAAAAAAACAACAACTGACAATTTGTCAAATTTTTCTTCTTCTCCTATCTTCGACGTTTGATCAGTGTTTTTCAAAAACGAAAAAACAAAAAACGAAATTTCGCTGTTTTTTAAAATTAATTTTAATTCAATTAAATTTAAATTCAATCAATTTTACACACACACACACTTTTGACACGCGAAACGAAACGAAACGAGCGAAACAATGTTTTCTCTCACTTTCTGTGTGTGTTCGTTAATTAATCGAAAAACTTTTAATTAATTAATTAATCAAATTTTTTCTGCTTTGTTTCGCTTTCTCTGCCACAAAATATTTATATAGCATATTGAAATATTGGATCAAAGTTGATCGATGACATTTTTGATTTCCTTACTTGAAAACAAAGTGGAAAGAAAACAACGAAAACTCATCAAAACAACAAACTAAACTAACAACAGAATAATTATATTTGTGTGTGTGATTATCATTAACAAATGTCGGATTTTGATCAACAACAACAACAAAATGATGATAATAATAATAATGATGATGATGATTTACAACAAAGACGTCGTCTATTACAAACAATAAATAGTGATAATAATAATAATATTGATGATGATGATGATAATAATAATGAATATGGTGGTGGTGGTGGGGGTGGCGGTGGCGGTAATGTTGAAGATGGTGGCGGTGTAGGTGGATATAGCGATGATAATAATTATGCTATAAATACTGTAACACCTGAAGATGTTGCTGTTATTGCTGAACAATTACCAAAAATATTACAATTTAAACATTTACAACCATTAAATCATTTTAGACTTTCACCATTAATATTATCATGGTTTCGTATGAAGAATAATAATCAAACAAAAGAACCATCACAACCAACTGAAACACCACCAAAATCACCAACAATATCAATAGAATTTGTAAAAAATATTTATAAATCACCATCATCACCGCCAACAGCAACACAATCACCTCCAGCACAAATATTATCAATAATATCAAAATCTGATTCATCAAAAACACCAACAAAAAATTATAATGATACAAATAATGATTCATTTTTTAAAACATCGGATGCAAATAATTATTATCTTTTAACACCTGAACAAAATAATAATAATAATAATAATCAACAAATTACAAATAATAATAATAATAATCTATTAAATAATGATGATTTAACATTGATTGATTTTTCATTAACAAAAATGACACCAAATCGTTTTCCAAGTTTAAATATGAATAGTAATAATAATGCTGATTCAATCTATCTAAGTCAAATGCAACAACAACAAGATCAACAAGATCAAGAACAACAACAGGATCCAGCAACAATGATAATATGGACACCATCATTAATACAGGATTTACCATCAAGAGAATTACAGCCATTAAATTTGGAACAAAATGAATTAGTACCATTGGAGAAAAGCGATCTGTTTCGTTATCGACAATCATTAATAAAATTTGATTTAAATGATGATATTGGTGCCATTTATGATAATGCAAATGTTGTGAATCAACAACAAGCTGCTGTTATGGATGGTGGTTTACAGGAAAACAGAATGAAAATTTTTATGAAACAACAACAACAACAACAACAACAGCCACTACTACTACCACCAGCAACAAAATATTTAAAACCAATATTTTTAATTAAAAAACAATCATTATTACCTTGTGACCATTTAATGGATCCAAAACAACGACAACAACAACAAGGACAAGGACAAGAACAAACAATATCACAATCAGAATCGGATTGTAAATCATTAATTATACGTGATTTACCATCAGTATCAATAATATCATTACGTTTAAATAATAATGATTTAAATAATAATAAAAGTAAATGGCAACAACGAATATTTTCATGGAAAGAATTGGATGATGATCAATTATTTGCATATAAACGACCAATACCTGTTATGATTGATAATAATAAAAATAATGCAATAATCAAACAGATATTGATTGAAGCACCAGTAAAAACAATGTATAAATCTACTGGTGTAGGTGGCGCTGATGTAATGAGAAAAAAATTTAATAGACAACAACAAATGAAAAAAATTCGTAGAAAATCATCCAAATTATCACCACAATTATTATTGAATAAAAGACAAAAATCAAAACTTTCAAAGGATCGTGCCGGTGGTCATCGTGGTCATCGTAAAAGACGAACAACATCTTCGAAAAAACCTAAAACAAAAACTAAAACTAGAAAAAAACAATTGAAAAATTCACCAAGAAAAAAATTATCATCAAGATCATCACCACCACCACCAACAACAGCAGCAGCGGCAAGAAAATTATCACAATCACCAAAACCATTACGACAACAACAATTATCACCGAAAAGAAGAAAACGATTATCACAATCACCACCACCAAGAAAACGATTATCACAAACACCACCACCATTACGACGATCATCACCAAGAAAACGTTTATCACAATCATCACCAAGAAAACGAATATCACAATCACCAACAAGAAAAAAAGGATTATCACGTGGATTATCACCACCAAAATTACCATTATCACCACCACAAAAATTATCAACAATTATAATAATAACACCTAATGAACAAAAATCATCATTATTATGGACGAAGAAAAAATCACGACCAAAATTTTTACAAAAAAAATCATTGAAAAAAAAATCACCATTAAAACAACAACAACAACAATTAATTAATAATAATGATAATAATAAAACAAAATTAATAACAAATAGTAATACAGTTAGATGGACAAGTGAAAAATTTCAACCAAAATCAGCAAAACATTCACCAAATTCATATAAATCAAGAAAAACATCAAAATTTTATCAATCACCAACTAATTATCCCGATTATTAAATTACAAATTTTTTTTTTTTGTAAAAAATATTTACAAACAGAAATACAAAAAAAAATTTACAAACAGAAATACAAAAATAAACAAAAAAAATTAAAAAAATTAAAAAATATATTGTGATTTTATTGAAAGTTTGTTTGTTTTTTTTCCGTCAAAGCAAAGTGTTAAGGCGCATAAAGTGTTAAGGCAAATAAAAGGTGTGCGTGAGTGGATGAGTGTTAATTATTATTATCATTTTTTTTTGAAATGATAATAATCACCTGATCAAAAAAAGAAGGTCAAATAATGATGGTGGAAAATGAAAAAAAAAAATTACTCAAGGTTTCATTTTCATAATGCAGGTACCTAATACCTTGATCGTTATTTTTTATTCTGCTGTTATGACGTTTACCTGTCTTTACCTGTCTGTTTAATAGCTGGATTATCCCGTTCATTTCATTTTTTTGGACAAATGTAATGTAATGTAATGAAATGAAAACAGACATTTAAGGTAAAACAAAAGAATGAAATTAAAAAAAAAGAAAAGCTTTTTTTATTCGTAATTTTATTTCCATCCAAAAAAAACTGAACGCTTAACCTTTTTCATTTATGGATATGATGATGATGATGATGATTAAAATGAACATTTAATTAATATTTTCTCTCTCTCTCTCTCTCTCTCTCTCTCTCTCTCTCTTTGGCTCTTTACGACAAATAATTTATGAAAAATGAAAATGAAAATTTCATTTTCAAATAACGTTTATNCTCTCTCTCTCTCTCTCTCTCTCTCTCTCTCTCTCTCTCTCTCTTTGGCTCTTTACGACAAATAATTTATGAAAAATGAAAATGAAAATTTCATTTTCAAATAACGTTTATGATCGGAAATGTAGTCGAAAGAGAGAGAGAATGAAAAAATTAGATTCATTTTGCTATGTTGGATAGGTTTAAAAATCATCAAAATTGATCCCCAATGAATGAATTGAATTGAATTGAGAGAATGAATGAAAATATCATAATAGTAATAATAATCACAAGACAAACGAAAATTTTTTTTGTTTTTCTTCTTGTTTTTCGATTACGAAACACGAAAAGAAAAAATTCTGTAAAATGATTCATTCACAATGATGAAACGAAACGAAAATTTTGCGTGCGCCGCACATTCAACCAACCAACCAAAAAAAACAAAAAACAAGAATCTCGATTCTCGATTAACGTATACACGACGCACACACGTTTTCTCTCTCTCTCTCACTGCCTACCATCATCATCATCATTATTATTATCTATATCAAAAACGAAAAACGATTATTCAACTTTTTTTTTTTCTTTCTCGCACTAAAAATCTAGTGTGTGTATATCCTTGGCGCCTTTTTTCTTCTTCTTCTCTCACTTTTTGCATTCTCTTCTGTATGTTATTCTCATTTTTTGTCGTTATTCGTTGTAGTTATCTCGTAGTTCGCTGTGTGTGTATGTATTTTGTTCAACTTGAATGTTTTCATTCGAAACATATGAACCAACAACATTCTGTTCAATTTTTTTTTGTTCCCAAATATATTCTTCTCTTGAAATTCAAGAGAGAAACACACCAGTGTAGTATTTTTCAGTCAGCTACCCGTGTTTCTTTTCTTCTTTCAAAGTTTTTTTTTGTAATATTTTTTCGCGCTCTAAAAATAGGTCTTACAGTGGCAACAACAACAACAACAGAATTTTGTTTGTTGTTATTTTTCTCGGTTAATCATTCTGTATGTTTCACTGTGTGTGCCGTGTCAGTCAATTTCAAATCTTTATTTCTGTGTTTTGATTCATGTTTTTTTTTCGCTGTTTGTTTTTTTTGGTTTTGAAAAATGAATCGAATCGATTGATAATCGATTCATTCATCATTTTTTTCTGCTTTCCTTGATATTCTCAATATTCATTGCTCAACGCGCGTTCATTACTTAAGAACAATTCGGTATATCGTTATCTATGAATTGCCATTCCGGTTCTATTTGTGTGTGTGTGTTAAGTTCCAAGTTATTAAGGTCATTGTTTATGTGAATGACCCTAAATAATAATGAATTTTTTTATCCACCTCTTTTGTTTAATTAATAATAATAATGTGATAATTCAATGGGAAATATTTTCGAAAAAAAACTTGGAATGTTTCCGGAAATTGATGTTTTTCCCCATCATTTTTCGGTGATGTTGTTGATCCGGCGTAACGAATTTTAAATTCAATTCCAAAAAAAAACTGAACTGAATTTAACTTTTTTTTCAAATTTCAACAAAAAAATTTATTCGGGTTTTCCGTTGTTGTTGTTTGGAACAAAAAAAATAATCCGATTCCGTTTTTATTCAACTTGTCAAACACACATTCTGTGCCCTGAAAGCAAAAAAGAATAAATTCGGTGAATGAATTTTGTTTCTCACTTGCTCAGGATTATTCCGAAAACAAGAGAAATTCTTCGAGTTTCGAACAAAGAAGATATACAAACTGATCAAAAATCGAAAAAAAAAACACACTGTTCTGGATTTTTGGTGAAAAAAGTTGTTATTTTAATGATGATGATGATTGAAAATGTGGTGTGTGTGTGTGTTTTTTTAACTCAACTAAACACAGCAATCAACAGAATCAAATCAATCGATTTAACCCCTTTACAGTCTTCATCAATTAATCGATTTCATTCACAGTAATAATGATGATGACAACTTTTAAATGATCAAATCATGAAAAATCACTTTCACAAACTTCGATCGTTTGTCGGTTAAATAGAGAATATTGATTTTTGTTTTTTCACATCAAATATAAAAAAAAAACCACAACCATCATCAAGCCATCACCGACAACAAAGAATCATCTAAAGAATGGTAATAAGAAATTAGTCAACCCTTTTGTCGTTCATTCATCCATCGATTACAATTGAAATAAATAAAGTTTTATAATCAAATTGAAGTAAATTTGATTATACAATCGATTTTTTTCTTTCTTTCTTTCTTCCTATAACATCGATTGTATCGATTATTATTACTACTGAATGTTTGTTTCATTTTGGAAACTATTTCAACAGCTAATGTTTTTTTTTGTTTCCATTGAAAATAATGTTCCACTATATCCACCCCGTCCATTCATCCTGTCAATTCGGAATTGGGGATGCTAATTGTCGAGTTTGTTGCTGTTGTTGTTTTTTCCATTTGTAAAATCAAAAAAAAAATTCTCATCATGAATCTCCTCCCCATTATTTGAAAAAAAGCTGCCAAAAAATTCTGTTATAACAATAATTATTTATTGACACATTTGACGAGTTTCATTGGTTGTTGTTACTTTTTTTTATTCATTCGATTTCTTTTTATCGTTTCAGGGTGGTGTCGAAATAGTTGATGGGTGGGTGGGTGTATATAGAGCGTATATGTAGATTTATAATTAGATTTTTTGTTCACTTTCACTTTCAATTTGATGGATTTTTTTTTTTGCTTGATTTATGAAAAAAATGCAATGCAGTGAAGCCCATCGATGGTTTTTTTTTGTTTGTATGGATTTTTTTCATTTTGGTGGCATTCTACTTACTCGATTTTGGCTAAAATCTAATAACATTTTAGATTTTGATAGAAAAAAAAAATTTTAACCCTTCAGGCTATCCAACGGGAATTTTTTTTTAATCAATTTTCTGATTCGACATGAAAAAACACAGTGATTTTTCATTCAATTATCAATGAAAAATTAATCAAAAAACGTTACCTGATTTTTTCTTCTTCTTCGTTTTTCATTTTCTGCTATCACAGAAAATGAAATTATCATTTTTGGTTCAAATTCGGTATATTTCTAATTGAATTTGACTTGATTTGTCATTGAATCACAAAAACAACAACGAAAAACGAAGAAAGAAAACAAAAAATTCCTCCTTACTGCAGTATTATTATCATCATTATTTTATTATGTATTTAATGTTTCTCTGCTCAATAGCAGTAGCAGCCAAAAACGGAAAAAGATTTGATTTTTGTTTTGATTGAATTATCGAATATTTTTTTTTTTGTTCAGTTACTTTGTTATTCAAATGGCTATTTGTTTCAGAAACACAAATAAGAGTATCTTATTTGTTAATAATGATGATTACGATTACGATGATGATAAAATGTATCTTTTGAACGTAAAAAAACGATGATGATGATGATGATTGCTATTAATGATGATTGAGAAAAAAAAAATAGAAATCGAACGAATCATCATAATAATTATAATGATGATGATGATGATGATTCGTTTATTTTTATCTTTTTTTCTGTATGGAAAACACACATTTTTTTTTACCAAAGTCAGGATTTTTTTCTACTTCTTTCCTTTTTAGAAATTCTTAGGGAAACAAAATTGAATTATCGAATAATAATAATAATCATCAATTTTTGTTTTCACTGAAGTAGAAGAAGAAATACTCCTGAATTAATCAATAGGAACGAAAATGAATCTATGAATCTTTGCTGATTTCGAAAGCAATATTTAGTTTATTTTTATTTTTGGGAAATTTTTCGGGAAACTTTTTTTCCCTGATTTTATAATTATCATCATTATCGTTATGATGATGATTATTATTGTTTGTTGTTGTTGTTGTTGCAGAGATTGAAAAATATTAATTACCATATTACAACTTGTTATTCTATAGAATTTTCTCCTATTACTGTCATTATATAATCATTTAATGATGATGATTTTCCCCAAAAAGAAATTACCTTTATTTTTGCTTTTGCTTTTCGTCTGTTTTTTGTTTTTCGTTTTTCGGTCTGTGTTTCATGTAATTAAAACAATCAAAGAAACGATAAAACATTTTTTTGAAAAAAAAATGATTTTCGGTTTTTGTTTCGTTCTGGCTTCGTTCTGCTGTTGGGAAAACATTTACAGAAAAATAATTGTTTCGAAAATATTGCCCGGATCAAACAGAGAGAAAAAAACTTTTTTTTCGGTTGAATTGAAATTTTTTTTCTGTGGTGGGGGAGGAAAGATTACAAGAAAAAAAGTTTCTGATAAAGTTTACGGGAAAATTTTTTACATGAAAACTTTCTTCATCATTTACATTTACATTTGATTGTTGAATCAAAACACCAAAAATACAAAACAAAACAAAAATTTTGGGTTGCATTTAAAACAAACGAAAAATCCAGAAATCTAATAAATCAAGTTATCATCGAATCAATGCAGAATATCACGTCCAATAAGATCAATAATTTGTGTTTGTGTGATTGCGTGTGTTTTTCATTTTGTTTTTCCATATAATTACAGCAACGACGACAATTCACGTTTGATTAAAGATTGATTCTTTTCATTTCTTTCTGGACACATCTTATAAGAAAACCCAGCCAAAAAACCCAAAAATCAACCCGAAATCAAGGTAAAAAAAGATGCTTACTGCATCTAATTTCAATATTCTATCGTTTGGGTAGCCATATGTTTTTCACACTGTCACACACATCAACGAAACGTCAAACATTGGTTTGTCGTTTTGGTTTTTCAATAATAAAAACCGAGAGAAACATCGAGAAAATATAGAAACACCGAGAAATAATAATAAAAAAAATCTTTGCATATTGACATTATTATGGATGGATGGATAGATGGATGTTATTAATATTAATATATTAACTATAACTATAACTAACTAACTGATAATAATGTAAATCTCTTTTTTTTCATAATTGATGAATTTTTATTTATTATCACCATCGTGATCATCATAATATTAATGTCTTGATGATGATGATGATGATAATGAATTTTTCTTTTTCATTATTAATTTATTAAATCTATGTAGTCTGCTGGTGTTAAAGTTATGTGAGTTTCTTTATGCAAAAACCTGATGATGATGATTTATTAAGATTTATGGATGCTGAAGAAAGATTCTTTTCTTTCTTTCGTTTCATGATTTTTTCCATAATTTTGCTTCCGGGGCCATCAATGAATTTCTAATCAAATCAAATCATCGTCATGTGTTTTTCTGTGCTTTCCTCTGCATTCTATTCTGCTGTTTGCGAAACATATTTGGCTTCACGAATTGATTCTTTCAGTGAATCCGAAATGATGCTTAGATTCGAATAAATGGAGAAACAAAATCAATAATCAGATTTGATCAACCAAGATAGCCAAGATGAAATTGATTTCGAATTCACCTGATTTCGAAAACATTTCACAAAAATAAATAATAAATAAATTGGAATTTTTCGATTTTCGGATTTTCGTTGTTTGACCATTACCCGAAAATCAATCAATAATGGTCGAATGATTCATAATCATTATTATTTTTCCATTTTCAAAATGATGATGATGGAGAGAAAGAGGAAAAAAAATCCATTTTAACGCATGAATATTCATCAATTTAATAACATTATTATTATTGATTTTTGTTTCCATTCATTTCATTTCATTTCTTATTTTGATTTTGGTTCATTTTTACTGGAATTGTTTACAGGAAATTTTCCGATGAGAAAATTGTCCATATTGACTTTTTTTTTTTTTGTTTGGACGTTTGTTGATCAATATATTCATTTTCGAAGGCAATTTACATAATTTGACTTGGTTGTTTCTCGGTTTGCTGGTTGTTTTTTTTACTCAAAAAAAAACGGGAATATGAGAAAAAAATAACTTGAAAATAATCGATTTTTTCTATCTATCTAAAACACTATCGATACAATCGATATTATTTATGGAATATTATTATTATTAATATTCAATTTGGTTCCTGACGGTTTATTTTTTGTTTTGGTGCAAATCTTATGATGAAATGATTATGCAAATTCTTTTTCTTCTTTGTTCTTCAACAACAGAATAAAAAACCTAATTAAATACTTACTTAGAATGTTGTGAATGTGATTTAAGATCATTCAATTCATTCATTCATCAGGAATATTTTCTGGTTCATCTTGATGGCTTTGCTGTTGTTTTGTTGTTTCTTCACTTCTTTATCCCGTTTTGTTGATTGAAAAATCATAAGTCATCAGTTATGTGCATTTTGATACGAGAAAAAAGAAAAGAAAAAGAAAATTACAATTTGATTATCATCATCGTTGTCGTTGTCTTAATCATTATCTCGTTGAGTTTTTTTTCATTTCATCAACATCATTTACTTAAGTAAATTTCTTTCGTTTCTGTTAAACTGAATTGGAATGAATGTAAAAATGTTTACTTAGTTACTTATGATGATGATCAAATTTTTTTTTTCTTTTTTGGGTAATGTTTCCATATTTCTTGTTTTCTCGGTTGGTTCCGGTAATATTTCCGGAAACATGTTATCAAATTGTGTTTGTTTCGTTTGACCAAACATCAAAGTTCAAAGTTTCTTTTCACTCCTTTTTCCAAACGCAAATCGTTTGTTTGTTTCCTTTTCTTTTTATTCGTTTGATTATTCTTTTCAATCAACTTTTACTTTTTTGAAAGATAAGATTCTTTTCTCTCTTCTCTCTTTTGTTTTGTTTTGGTTTCTATTTCCACTCCATTTGAACAATGAAAAATAATCAAAATTCTGAGAAGGAAAAAGACAAAAAAAAACTTTTTTTTTTCAAACAAAACCAAAATGACCGAAAAAAATCTATTGATTTTCAGTTGGTTTTTGTTGTTATTATTATTTAACCCTTTTTTCTCTCTCCAAAAGTAAATAAGCTGATTTACATTTCAAACAACAACAACAATGATGATAATGTAATCTGATTTTATAATCTGATTTGGTTGAAAAATAATAATAATAGCTATTATTATTAATATTAATGTAGGAACAAAAAAGCAAAAAACAAAAATAAAAACTTTTTCAATGAAATTCTTCAAAGGAAAAAAATTCTGGAAAAGTTTTTTCTTTTGATCATCTTTTGTGATTGAGTTTTTCGAAAAAGTT